AGAACATGAACTTGAATAAAGTTGTAACTCGAGTTGCCTTTTTTGAGTTTTTTAGGCTGCCGAACACACCCTTAGTCTTTTCAGACTATCGCGGGCAGCCCGTCTAAAGTTCTAGCACTAGTTATGATTGACTGGTCATAGTATTATGACGAGACATATAACACTATGAGTCATAATACTATGACTCCTAAGGTCAACTATGTCTTTGATGTGTTGGTCGTTACAATCAGTTTACATACCAATTATAAACCATCTAAAATCTCAAATTGACGAAGGATATTTTTAATTCCTATCACATTAAGTTCAACTCAGTCATTTTTTTTTAGTTTTGTATACTAGGTCTCCCAAAAATTAAATTTAAAAAAGACAAAAACAAAAACAAAAATTGTGTACCAACCTCGATCTGGTTCACAACCGGAGTATTGACGACGAGGGAATGAGGGCATAGGGAAGAGAGAGGCCGAGTAGAGAGAGACCAAACTTGAGAGAATGTGAGAGAGAGAGCTGAAATGGGGTGTAGAGAGAGAGAATGAGCGGGAGAGAGTTGGGAGTCTCTTTAAAGTGCTTTTAAATGATAATTTTAACCTAAATAACATAAAAATCATTTTACCTCACACTACTAACATGACAATGTTAATTGTAAAAGTACACAAAAGTTGTGTTAAAATTAATAATAACTTAATCAGGAGTGTTATTATTGAAATTAGCCCTATTTTTTTTTACCATTTCAGTAGCTCTAATGTCCATATTACCCTTAGTTTGTTTTCCTGCTCCTCTATCTCCTATCGAAAGTTCATAAAAGCCAAACAACAATGTGGTGGCAATGACAGTGCTGAGATTGGCTAAAGACGTCAAGAACGGATGAGATCTGGTAAAAACATCAGTAATGAGGAGATTTAACAATCGGTGACGAGGACGATCAGTGAATTTAACAAATGAGGACGAATGGTGATGCTAGTGAGGAGGACGATCGGTGCAATGGAGCGGGAAGAGATCAGTAACAAGGATGATCATTGACATCATGTGGGCAAGGATGATCGGCATGACGCGTGGTGAAGGATTGGAAGGTGATGACGGCATGCATAAAAGGAAAGAAATTGCAGACAACAATGCTTAGGAAAGAGAGATGATGGAAGGGGCTGGAAATTACGGGAGAGAGAGAGAGAGAGAAAAGAAAAAGAAAATGAGAGAAAATGGGCTAATGTTCTCCTGTTAGTTTGGGTATTTTATATGCTAAAAGTGGATGTTTCAAGTGAAATAAAGAAAACGATATTAAGAAATGGTATTTATGCGATTGGCCCTCAAATATATAACAAAAAGATTTAGGACATTTTACTAATTGTAAAAATTAAAACTGTTATAATAATTATGGTAGGGCTATTCTACGGTGGGTTTACTGACATAAAGGGTTGTGCTAGCCACGATTGGGACAGGCTAAACCGCACTGGGGTGACCCTGAGGAATGCAGTTCCAAAAGGGACACCTATTGCAATTTTGACTCCATGAGACTTGAGAGGGATAAGTTCTTGTAAATAGGGATCTTTTAAGAAGTGTTTGGTATGAGATTTCGTGTCATGATTCGAATCATGGTTCGTGGCTCGCTACAACGTTTATTCTTACAAAAAACACATGTAAACCGAGAATGGTTCTGAATCATGATTCTAAATCCGTGAACCAAACGTTCACTTAGGGTCCGTTTAGTACGAGAATTTAAATTAGAGTGATTCTAATCATGATTCATAATTTTGGGTTCAAATCATGATTTGAAAACCATGATTCAAAATCAGGGGTTTGAAACACCTTGAATCAAAGGGGAGTGGTTTTAGAATCATGAGTGATTCTGATTTAAAACATCACATCAGATCAGATTTTAAAATATGATTCAAAATCATCCAAACCAAACACTAATTCTGAATTATAATTTAGAATCATGATTCAGAATCACTGTAAATAAACATTAATTCTAAATCAAGATCCAAAATCATGATTTTAGATCCATCTACCAAACACCCCCTTAACTAGAAGAAGTGAAGATGAACGTAATTAGCTTTGTAGAGGAACATTCAAGTTGATGGTAGAGTAGTACGGATGGTGAAGCCTCATGGGCTAGATTCTTCTCATAAGGGAACTTGCTGAGGAACGCAAATGATTAACTTTGAATCAGAAAATGGCTTTAAGTCTTTCTTGGTGTTTTTCTTGGGATAGGTACATGATAAAGGTTATAGAACATTGTTGTTTCAAATGGGAAAAACACCCAAAATACCTTCTAAAGAAACAATGTCAGAAGCTATGGAGTACAAGGGATGAGTTTCCCTAATAGGGTTGATAGAGTCATAGGGCACGTTTAGTTTGATAAGTCGAGTTTTTAATTCGAGTTAATATGTGATTTTATGTGAAAACTTTTTATTGTAGCAAAAAAGTTAGATGTGACTGTTTCTGAGAGCCTTTTATTTTAGCAAAACTCAAATTATAAACTCAAATCGGTGAAATGAACGGGACCATAATTTTTGAAGTGTAGATTGAGGTACTTGTTTAGTGGTAGTTGTATGATTTGGAGCAATAAGAAACTTATGCCTCATTCAGCTTGCCAATTGAGATATGATTTAATGTGAGAGCTTTTAACTGTAACAAAAAAATTAAATATGACTTTTTATTAGAGCTTTTAACTGTAGTAAAATTGAAATTGAAAACTCGAATCAGTAAAATGAATGCAACTTTAGTTTGGTGGATGAGATTTCTTATTAAAGATCCTCATTGGGAGACTTCCAATTGTGGTTGCTTGACTCGCTCTAAATGCGGAAGAAATTTCTTCCTGAAGAGTTTGAATGCAGTCAACCTCCGTTTCCATGGTAAGCTGCGCATGGGAAGTTGCCAATAGTGGGCTTCCTCAAGCTCCCACTTTCCGGTGGTTTGCAGAGGGAATAACTATGAAGTAGGAGTGTGACTTTTCCATTTCGTGTAAGTTTTCTAGATCGGAAGCTATCACTTACAATTTTACCGTCTGAATTCTGAAGGGTGAAAAACTTATCCTGAAGCTATTTTACATACTTTTGTTTTGGGCTAATTGGGCTTGGAAAATTTGCCATGCAATTTAATTTTCAGAAATAGTAAAAAATAAGTCAATATGAAAAGTTTAAGAAAGTATATAGGTCAAATTTTAGTTATAGAAATTAATAGGTCATAACTTGTCAAGTTATGGTTCATAACTAGATAAGTTATGGATAAATTTGTCAAGTTATGGTTCATAGTCAGACAAGTTATGGATAAAAACCGTGATTTATGGACAATAACTTGTCAAGTTATGATTCATAACCAGACAAATTATGGACAAAAACAATAATTTAGCCTATTTATTAACTTATGTAAACTATTAACCTATTAATTTTAATTCATCTCAAATCTTGGCCTATTTTCCACTTTCTCCCTTTAATTTTTACTTAAAATTTTACTTTACTTTCATCCACAATTGATACTATTCTAATTTCTAGTACACTTAAAGTTTTCTATGGGTCCGTTCAATTCGCTAATTCGAGTGTTTTTACAGTAAAAAGCTCTCACAAACAATCACATCTAACTTTTTTGCTACAGTAAAAAACTCTCACATAAAGTCACATCTCAACTCGAATTCTAAACTCGAATCAGCGAAGTAAACGGGATCTAAGTAGATCAAGAGTCTATTGGATCGAACAAAATAGACCACTTACGTTGTTTGACTTTTCCAATTATAGTTCCACCTAAAGATTTTAAAAGGAAAAAAAGAGATAAATACCCTTTAAAATGTATCTATCAGAATTTACATCTCCAATTTTGATTAATAACATTTTTTTGTCAAATAACTATACTAATAAAATATATTAATGAAAAATAATGAGTAAAAATTTAAATTTATACACTTAACAATAAATTTTGTAATTTTGACGTGATTTGGGCTTTTGTACCATGCTTTAGACCACATCACAAGACATTAATTGGACTCGGGCCTTACTACATGTTCAATATGCATTAAGTAAGATCAGTTCAGTTCTATGAGAAAATCACTCAACTTATTAGATCTAAATTTTTATTATTTATTTTAAATTAATACTCTTTTAATTAATAAAATATTAATTAAAAAGATATTAATGAATAATAATGAGAAAAAATTAATACTTATATAATTTAAAAAAATATTTATCTTATTTTTTATAATTTTATTTATTATTATTTTTAAACGTGATTTTAATTAAATTTAACAACTAGAAAGACGTATCAATGTCACAGGCTACCGTGAAACCGAACGCGCGTTCAAAGTGTAACCATGAGCCCCAACTCAAGCTTTCTTAGAAGGCGCGTACTTAGCCGCAGAGCTCCCATGGTGTATTGGTACCTGCGACAACATCTCAATTTAATCAATTATCAAATCCGGGTCGGCGCAGCGACATTTGCATTGTCCCAGTGCCGACTTATTGCAGTGTTCTCACTACTGCCTTCTCTTTTCTCTTGAAACTCGACACTGTCTTGTTGTGAAATGTGCGAAATGGTAAGAAGCGTTTGTTTAGGTTAAAAATGTTTTTGTATATGCAGTTTCCTCCAGGAATGAATGAAACACGATTCTAGTACATAGTCGACCAAAAAAAAGAAAGATTAGAATAATGCATATACTGTTGTTTGGTAAAAGAAAAATATCTATTCAATATTTATTTGTCCCTGCTGTAATGCAATTATACACCGAAGGAGCAAAATTATAATTGACAAGGGGTCACAACATCATGAAACGGCGGTGGGTAGGGCCCACTTTGAGACCATGGTTCTTAAATAACGGAAACTAAAAAAGAAAAGAAGCTCAAAAAAAGATAGCTGTACTAATGGAAACGCTTTGGTAGAAGTGGGAACACAAGCATGAGCCTTTTTTTTTTTGGCCCTTTTATTTTTTGTCAAATTAATCTTATTAAAGTAACTTTGATTAGAATATAATAATTGCGACTCACAAGTTAATCGAGTAAAGACGAGCGAAGTGGAATCTTTTGGATAAAAGGACACTCTTGCTGCTCACTCACTGCCCTCTTTCCTCTGTCCACAATAAAACTCTTTACTCGCAGCAACTCTTTGAAGAACAGAGCTAGAGAGAGAAAGGGAGGAGAGAGAGAGAGAGAGAGAGAGAGGAGCTACAAAGATGGTTCGGAGCTCAACAAATACCAAGGGGTTCTCGCTTTTTATGCTTTTGTTTGCTCATTTGGCCACTAATACTCTTGCATTATTAGAAGACGGTAAAGCTCTCTTTGCTTTCTCTCCATCTTTATTATTTTCTGGTTTTGCAATTTTCTTGTTTTGTGTTTGAGAACATTTATTAGTGTTTCTTTGCTAGTTTGCTTCAATTTATCCCTTCAAAATTGTTTCTCTTTTTGGTGCGCTTCTTTTTTTTTTTTTTTTCTTTGTTTGGTGAATGTTTGAGATCTGATGAACAATATGTGCATTGCAAACTTCCGATTTTTTTTGTTTTGTTTTCATGTTATGTCATCTCATCATCTTTGTTGGTATCATGTTTTTTTGTGCAATGCTATGTTATTATGGCATAAAGGAATGGCATTTTCAGAGGGGATTTCGCACTTCCATCGGCGATTTCCACTTTATGCTTCTTCCGAGATGTATTAAAATCTTTGCAAGTTTAAAACTAATTTCTTTGCATTGTATTTGGCAACCCAAGAAACAGAAATCATGGTTTATAGGATACTTTTAATTTGTTAATTTAAATTTTTAATTTTAATTAAGATGTAATTTTATATAAAAAAATTTTATTTTAATAAAAAAATTTTAAAAATAAAAAATTAAATGTGATTATTTTTAAAATTTTTTTACTATAATCAAATTTAAATTGGTAAAATAAATTATGAAATAAATGCGGTCTCAATGTGTCTTTAAAAGCATATTTTATTTTATTTTTTTTGTTTTTTTTTTCAATTGTAGCTTGTTGTCCAACACAATAATGGCGGAGAAAAAAAATCATGTCTTTTAAATTTTTAATTTAAATTAATATGTAATATTTTTTAAAAATTTTTAATTATAATATAAAAATTAAATATAATATTTTTTTAAAAATTTTAATTATAAAAATTTAAAATTAAAAATTTAAATTTGTGAAATTAACGAATTTGAATCAAATTCTCTATTTGGTGAGTGTATTTCGATGAGTTCTGACTTCTCGAAAACTTCAAGGCTATGAGGCCCACTGCCATCATGTGGTTCATGGTAAACTTGTTTATTCTTTACTCTAGTTGAGCCAAGTTGGATTTTGTTATTTTTTAGAAAAGAAAAAAAAAATCTTGTGGACTGAATTTTCTCTTCTTTTTGATGGATTGTGATATTTCTTTTCAGATAATTAAATAGTAAATAGTAATTCCTGTCCTAAAAAAATAGTGAATATTAATGTCTTGTTGTTCAAAGAGAGCCCACAAAACCCTGATGGGTCTATGAAATCTTGATCCGTCATTTATTAACAACTCTATTCAGAATTTCAGACGGCCCGTTTTGTTTCTTAAACTCCTACTGTGGTCTGTGGGTGTACTTAAACAGAGAATGTTTGGTAGAGGGATTCGTTTCCTGATTTAAATCATGATTCATGGTTCGTTACAATATTTTTTCTCACAAAAAATTCACGTAAATCGAAAATAGTTCGAATCACATAGTTTGAATCTTCCAATCAAACGTAAGTCTTAAACTGTTCTATAACTTTTTTTAAGGCGTTAAATACTTGTATATATTATTATAACTGAAATTTTATTTTTCAATGATTGAGATTGTTGTTTTTTATTCATTATTTAGTGTACATGGTACAACATAAATTTTTGATATAGGTAAGGTATAAAGCTCCAAACTTGCTCTGTGTATAAACTTTATTTAAAAAAACCATTTTTTTTTTTAACTCACAAATCGCAAGTATTTATTTACCTTCAAAAAAAAAAAAATCGCAAGTATCTTAGATTTTTCTTATGTTTTTCTTTTTCTCTTTGAATATTGCCTTTACTTTTAATCATGATCAAGTAATTGTGACCAAAGTGTATGTGGTTCTATTTGAACCTCGAGTGAATTTCTTCTGCTTGCATGACAGTTCATTTGATGTTCTTTTTACTCGAAAAGTAATTTTTTCTTCCTTTTTTTTTTCAAGCAAACTCTTATTAGGCATTTCAGGCTTTTGGTTTTGTGGTCTTACTCTTACATGTGTTTTTCATTTTCATCTATCAAATTGTATTTGGTCCAAGAACAGGTCTTAGAACAAACAAATATGAAAGGAAAAAAGTGCTTTTCCCAATCCCCTCTCATCGATTATAGCTATTCTTTTCTTTTCTTCTTTTCCTTTTTGGTAGAAAGCCAAGTATTGGGCCCCTAGGTAAAGTACTTTTTCGCCATATTCAAAGATTTAGGTAAAGATGAGACGTTATGACTGTAACAAATTTCCCGCCAGATCAACAGTTCCTTTATATATTTCCTCTCTAATTTGATGAAAGGCCAATGTCCTTTCGGCAAAGGACACTAACCCCTAAAATATTCTATTATTGTCCTTTTGTTGGTTATTATACCCATTTCCAGCTAGCCCGTGTCCGTAAAGGACACACTGTAAAATCCACTTTTCTCTTGTTAGTCAAAGTAGAGAAGAAAAGTTAAAATTAAAAAAATTAAAAAATTAAAAAATGTGGGTCAGCATGTGAAGTAGGGCCCACGCGGAGACCCGTCCAATCGGGCTCATGTTTGTTGGATTAGACGCGTCTTATTTCTCGAACAAATCTGGCTATCTTTTGTCGTTTAGGATCGAAGAATGCGAGAATGTGGTCACCCACATGATCTCTTATTATGAACCCTGTCAATCTCTTTCTTTATTTGTCTGCTTACTTTTTCCTCTGGTCTGAAATTTTTTCCTACCGTATTTATCTATTTCTCCCATTGCCCTTTTTTTGTGTGTGTGATTTTCGTTATTTCTATGTTTTGAGGGCAATGCATGATGGATAAGGTTTATCCACACGAGTTGTGAAACATTTTCTTGCAATTTTTGGGAAGACTGAAATATAATTGCTGATTTATTTGTTTTTTTTTCCTCCAAATTAAAGTTGTGTGATTGGTGTATTGCTGCTAATCACCAGTAAAAATACTAATGAGCTTGGACTAAACTCTAAAAATAGTACTGATAATAATGATGTAACTCGCGTGTGATATTGAACATCTGTGGCCTATTTATTTGTAGTTTGAACGTTTTTATTATAATATTTTCTCAAATTTCTGATACTTTCTGTTCAAATTTATGAACTTTTTATTTTGTATTTTTTCCGAGTTGCACAGTGCACACCAATACGAATGAATAGTAGACACATTCAGTTGAAGGCTGTTAAGTTACATTGCCAAAAAAAAAAAAAAAAAGCATTTGTGTAGGCATTAAATGCTTAAATGAATGGAAAATGTGTGCCGATTTTCTGATAAATACTTCACTACACCCTTTTTTTAATGCAAAAGTATGCATGTCATTACTTCAGTACACGTGATTGGCACGGTGGTTTTCATTCGCTGTATTGATAGGCGACTTAATTAACAGAAAATCGATGCATGTAAACCCAATTCCCAAAATATTTTTCATACGAAAACTGCTTTTGATAGGGAATTGTATCCACCACTTCTACTACCAATAAATAAACTCTTTCTCATGTCTAGTCTAGCAATAAATAAATGAATAATTTCTATTCATATAACTAAGAAAAAGTTTTTTAAGAATAAAGTTCTTAGAAAATGTTCGGCCATGCTCTATAATTCTTGTAATTGCATTGAAGCACTTTTACTATAAGGTTAAGATGTGAAATTCTTGCATTTAGTTTTAGTTCACTAATAAAACAAACTATTTGTAATTAATTGTTATTGTCAATTCTTTCATTTGGACAATTGGTGTGATTACATGGCTTATTTATTTATTTATTTGGAGAAATTTACATGGCTTGTTATACCTGTTTGCACAAATGCTTTGGCAAAGAAAAAACAAATAAAATAATCGTTCAAACTATTTGTAATTAATTGTTATTGTCAATTCTTTCATTTGGACAATTGTTGTGATTACATGGCTTATTTATTTATTTATTTGGAGAAATTTACATGGCTTGTTGTACCTGTTTGCACAAATGCTTTGGCAAAGAAAAAACAAATAAAATAATCGTTCCATTTTTCAACTGTACTTTAAGTAGTGGTAAGTACATGGTTTCTTTCTTGCTGGCTCCATTACATATTATACGGTACAACTTATATGGAGTATGTTTTCTTTTTGGGCCCTGTTGCAGGCCCAATACCGAACGGAGACTTTGAGACAAGCCCATTGGGCGGGTTCCCAAGCGAGGACGCCGTAACAGATGGGCCAACGACGATCCCAAACTGGAAACTACACGGCACCGTTGAGCTCGTGGAATCGGGGCAGAAACAGGGTGGGATGATCCTCATCGTACCACAGGGTAGGCACGCGGTGAGATTGGGAAACGACGCAGAGATCAGCCAAGATCTGACGGTGGAGAAGGGGTCAATCTACTCCGTGACGTTCAGCGCGGCCCGCACGTGCGCGCAGCTGGAGTCGCTGAACGTGTCGGTGGGGGCCGCGTCGCAGACCATCGACCTGCAGACGCTGTACAACGTGCAAGGGTGGGACCCATACGCCGTTGCTTTCGACGCCGAGTCGGACAAGGTGACTTTGGCCTTCAGGAATCCTGGCATGGAGGATGACCCCACCTGTGGGCCCATCATTGATGATATTGCTATCAAGAAGCTCTTTTCTCCTGATCAACCCAAAGGTAAAAAAATTTAAGCTCTTCTCTTTCTTCTCATTTTATTTTATATTTTTTTAATGCTTTTGTTTATTGTTTTTCTACAAGATTTTTGTGATATATAGATTAGAGTATACTTACTGCATGGTTTAGTTCTTAATGTCCCACTAAATATGAATTGTAGATTTTAAAAATTGCGCGCATGTGATATAACATAACTAAAATCTTGTGTTTTATTGATTACCATTGTACAGTGCTTTATAATTCTGTGCTTAAATTATCCGTAATTAAAAATAATCAATGTAAAACAATCCGTCAATGTCCAATTGTATAGAAGTCTCCATTTAAAAAGTATATTCAAATTATGATTCTTAATTCTAAGGTTCAATTTTTTTTTGAGAAAAAAAACAATATAGCATAATAATAATTTGAGTTTAATATATGAAACAAATGGGCCTTAAGTGTTGTGGTAGGATACACTGTAATCAGAGTGACAATATTTAGAAAAAATTAATAATTATAAATTCTTCTATTGTTCTCTGTGTGTTTTGATCATTTCTTAAAATGTTGCATAATAATTTTATTATCGAGGCTATTAAAGATGTCTTTCTCGATGTAGAAAAAGTAAATGGTGATTCATCGGTTCGTCTCCCATTAAATTTTATAGTCATTCTTAAATTGATTGATATACATTTTTTAAATTGATTGATTTACATTTTTTATTTTTCTCGACCATTTTCTGCGTAAAGATCCAATACTTTTCGATGCCAAAACTGTTCACTAAAACATAACACATTCAATAAAAATTTAATTTTTTTGCATAAAAAGTTAAAGCAAACTAAATAGGATTATGGGCAAAATAAAAGGAATAAATATTATGAATATATTACAATCATGTCAAATTAATATTGTATTAGGATGATATATTTTTCTTATGTAAAACTCTTATGATGTGAAATTTAACATTCGCATACACATTTGTACACTAGTGAAAAAAATAAAGAAAAAAATAAATAAAAAAATAAGAGAAAATAAATAAATAAAGTTACTTTAATAAACAATTCAAGCTATTACTTAGGAGAAGATCTTGTAGATATAATTGGAGTTTGGTTCAAAGTGAAGTTTCTTTATTTGTAGAGATCTTCTCTGATATGTTAACATATAAGTAGATTTAATGATTAGTTTTAACTTGACCTATTCGTACGTCAAGCGTATTAAAAAATCTCTCATAAAATAAAATTTTTTAATATTTTTGTGGGTGCTATATCTTAATTTAATAGAAATATATATAAAAAAATATAGAGAATGAAAAGTTGAGGGGAGCAGGCTTTAAGCCCCATAATCCTTCATTGCCTCCCTCCCCGCCTATAATGGGTTATTGTAAATGTTAGATTTAATTAAAATTGTACCAAGAAGACAAATGTGTTAATTTTGAAAATTTTCAAGTCGAATTGTGAAAAGAACGGATCTTTACATAAACTGAAAATATTTTCTTTCAGTTTCTTCCTGCATAATTTCACTTAACTTTCCTGCTATTCAAACACCGGGACCAGAGTAATACCCTTTTTTTTCTTTTTTTCTTGGAGTGGGTTCATAGTTTTTTTTCTTTTTTCTATGCTTGTTGATCTTTTTAAGGGATCCACGGCGTGAGTTTTGTCGTCTGAAGAGATCAGGATATGTTTCCTATGTGGGCTCAACTTCAAGGCTCTTAATCCGAAAAGTAAATAATAAAATAGTTGGACGGTCTTGACCAGCTGCCTGGCCTCTTGTTTATTTTCTACCCTTGTCTTCTCAATTTGGACTTTCTATCGTTTACTCACGAATCCCACTAAAGTAATTGGACTTTTTATCTTTTTATCCTTTTTTTTTTTCGTCTGATGTTTGCGCGGTTTATGGGGGGTTTTATTTGCATAATGAAAATATTGACTTTAGTTGAAATTAATTGGTAGAATTTGTGGTATGCACTTTCCCATAGAATTGTGCACAAGTAACGCCACAAAATTTTCTCCATTTTTCCTAATGCAGACAATGCTGTTCTTAATGGCAATTTTGAAGAAGGTCCATGGGTTCCCAAAAACGTGTCGCTTGGCGTATTGCTTCCCACCAACCTAGACGAAGAAATATCCTCATTACCAGGCTGGAATGTAGAATCCAACAGGGCCGTGAGGTACATTGATTCCTACCATTACAGCGTCCCCGAAGGCAAGCGAGCCATTGAGTTGCTCTCTGGCAAGGAAGGCATTATCTCTCAAATGGTCGAGACCTCGCCGAACAAGCTCTACACCCTAACCTTTGATTTGGGCCACGCGGGTGACAAGTGCAAGCAGCCGCTCGCGGTCATGGCCTTTGCAGGGGACCAAGCACAGAACATCCATTACACGCCGGATTCCAACTCCACGTTCCACACCACTAGCCTCAATTTCACCGCCAAGGCGGAGAGGACTAGGGTCGCGTTCTACAGCATTTACTACAACACGAGGAGCGACGACATGAGCTCGTTGTGTGGCCCGGTCATTGATGATGTTAGAGTGTGGTTCTCTAGCTCTCATAGGAACGGGATTGGAGGTTTGGGGTTAAGAATAGTGGTTGCCATTTGGGTGCTTGTTTTGGTTTTGGTTTAAGATTTTTTTTTTTTTTTTTTTGCTGGTTAGAAAGTTTATATAAATATATATAGCCTACTGTTTGTTAGTTGTGGGGTGGAATGGTAGTGTTGGTATAAGACCACCTTCCTTAGTTCCGTGTTGTATGTCATCTTTGATGTTATAATCTTTGCTATGAAATGAAATATATGATCAGCATCTTGTTTTTGCCAACTTTGCTTCAATTTTTTCGTGATGATTAAGACATTGATTAATTGGTAATGGGATTTGCGAGAAGAAGAAATGGGAATTAACCTAAAGATAAGGAATTCTTTGTGCTTCTCATAGGCAAAGATTTCCTCTTATTTTTTATTATGTGTAAAGTTTCCAACTTTTTCATACTTGGCGCTTTATGGAGAGTTGTGATTTTTTAGTTTGTTTTACGTGAAAGTTGGATCGATTTGAGCTATAAGAGGCGATGAATATGTCAAACTTAGTTTTCACTTTTCCTTTTTCACCGCCAAGATAGCCTTCTATCTTCATATTATGTTGCTTGTAAAGCTCAAATGTAATCGAGTTCAATTTGATTTCTAGAGTATTACACTTTAGTGAAGTAATTTGGTCAACGATAAGATTGTCCTTCCTTGAGGCCTTTGAAGTGGGCTCCGTCTTAGAGGAAACAAATCTTGAAATGAGTTTGATTTAGCTCACAAATATATTTAACAATTGTAGTGAATGGCCTTTTTGAAAAAAATAATAATAAAAAATAATAATAATAATAATAATTCAGGGAAATGACGTATTTAAAAAGATTTTTTGTAAATTACCTTTCTTTAAATAAAGAAAATCAAATTTCTAAAATTACATCGCAACCAGGACTTATTGTCTTGAAGCTTCGCGAAGTTTTGGTGGCAAAGTTCGTGAGGTGATCAGCTGCCTTCTTTGAGGGTTAATGGGTGTCTATTTGCAAAGTTGAGGCCTGTCGTTCTATGTTTTTTAATCATGGGTGCGTATGTTATGCAGTCCAATAGCCACCGAAGTCGTCGTCGTTGTCATGAAGTTTGCAACACCTCACAGCAGTGAGGCTTGATCTTGGTGATGCTTCAATCTCATTCCTCGCTGACGTTCTTATGTCGTCACGAAAACTGAATTAGGCGTCGTTTTCGCATTGATGGCATTTGAGCTTCGTCACTGAGGGAGGAGAGTACATGACATTTATATGCAGTGTTGGAAGTTCGGGTCGGCGGGCTGCCCGAAGCTCGAATTTTTTCGGGCTCGGGTGGGCAAGCTCATTTTCCGCCCGCCCAAGCTAGATTTTCGGGTTCAGACTCGGGCAGCCCGAATTTGACACTAACTCTCTTGCCCGCCGCCGTCTAACCGCCCTATACTGCCGTCGGCCAAAATTTTTTTGAATTTTCCAACTATGCCCGACCCGCCCGACCCGAAAATAAGCCCGAAAACTTAAATTTTGCCCGAAGAGTTGCCCGATTTGCCCAAAACCGCCCAAAAATTTTAGTTGCTACAAATTGGGGCATTCTGAGAATTGAACTCGAGACCTCTCACACCTAAAGCAAGAATCATACCACTAGACCCAATGCCCATATTTGTTATTTAAATTTTTAACTTTTTAATTAAGGTAAACACACAATTCCTTAATAGAAAGAGCAAATTCCTATTTTAGCAGTTTAATATTTCAGTTTTCACATTCTTGACCCTTTTTTATAATCAATCACATGATAAAATGATTCATCAAAAAACAATATACACAAGGAAAGAAACACATTGCCATCACGTTTTTATTGTTTTTTATTTTTAAAAAGTGTTGTTTCTATATAATGCCGGTTTTGTTCTTATAGATACTCGTGTTTTTCTATTCTATATCACTCTTCTTTCTATCTTTATCTATTTTTCTGTTCACAATCTCTCCTCATCCTCTTAATTATCCTCTTTTTTCTTCAACTTTCTTCACTCTCTTTGTGACTCTATATCAAAATAACTTTCTACTTGCATACCAAAGTAAATTGATAATTTATCAAAAGTCACTCAATGATTGGTTTGGTTTAATAACTTCATCGCTATTTGATGATCTCTATTTTAAAAGACCAGTCACTCAATGTTGATTGAAGCCTTGGTTTGCATTAAGGATTGGGATCTGTAATTGTATAACTTTGTAAGTTTGTAAAATTTGTAATTCGTCACAAAATGATTGCACTCTTTTTTCCTTGCCAAGTTTTTATCCCAATTGGGTTTTTCTTGTTAAGGTTTTTAACGAGGCAGTCATGAATTACAAATTTTAAAATTAATAAAGAAATAATTTTTTTATATAGTTCGTGTGTTCATTTCAAATTTCAAATTATAATATATATATATATATATATATAAATTTTAACACAAAATAACTTAATATTAAAAAAAAAAGTTTAAATAATTCGGACAATTTGGGTGGGCTCGGGCCGCCTAATACAAGCCCGCGGCCCGTTCAAGGTGAAATTCGGGCTGGGGCGGGTGGCCCAAATTTCTCAGGCGGCTTGGGCTCGGGTTCGGGCAAAAATTCGGGCTTTTCGGGCGGTCGCGGGCGGCCCGTCCAAAGTTTCAGCACTATTTATATGTATATATATATTTGATATGAAAAAGGTTATAAATGGGCCCGTTTAGTTCACTGATTCGAGTTTTTAATTCGAGTTGAGATGTGATTTTATGTGAGAGCTTTTTACTGTAACAAAAAAGTTAGATGTGATTGTTTGTGAGAGCTTTTTACTGTAGCAAAACTCGAATTCTAAACTCGAATCAGCGAAATGAACGGGGCCTTCACCCCAAGTTTCAATTATTTCTTTTTTAAATTCCCTCCCCACTCTAGAACTAACTATTCTAATTCACCATAATATCTTCATTAATCCTATGGATGTTGTCGTCTTTTTGTATGTCATGTATCGATTAAAACATGGATGACGCAATTTTTTTTAAAGTGTAACATGAATATGTTTGTTCTTCGAAGACATTAGTAAGTGAGTTGGCACGGTAAAATACTTCGGCCTCGAATCCAAAGAGTTATATTAATTAAGTTCCGGGTAGAATGGAATGGACATCATAAGAAAAAGGTGGGCTCAAATCTCATATTAAATGGTCAACCTTTTTAACATGGAGGAATTTTCTTAGGAAATTTATAAGCACACGTTCAACTAAATGGTTACATTTAACTTTTATTTTAACCTTTAATTAACAAGCATAGCATAGCACCAAACGTGACACGAAAAATTAGGAGTGTTTATGGAATCCGTCAATTCAATTGATCCATAAAATCCAATCAAATCTGAAATTTTATATTGGATTGAAAAAGGTTTTGAATTGGACACGAATTAAAATTTTCTCAATCTGAAAATTTTAAATCGGATTACGGATTAAGCACTTTTTAATCCGTAAAATCCGCGAATCCGAAACCTATTATATATATATATATAATTGATATGTATATATATATAATTGATATGTATTTATATATATATATATATTTCTTTTAATTTTTAAGTTTAGTTTTCTATTTTTTTTATAAAAAAAATCTGTAATACATATGATTATTTTTTGATTCAGTCATATCATAATTATAACATAAACTCTTTTTTTTTTTTTTTTGTCATCCTTAATTGGGTTGTAACAATTTAGACTTGGTTGAACAAGTTTATGTTATAGTTATGCTATGTTTATTTGAGTTATGGATGTTGAAATTTTGAGACTTTGAGTTGTGATAAATGATGAAGAATTCATGTTGTGTTTATTTTGTATCAATGTTTATCAATTTATAATTTTAAATGTCATAATTCGTGGAATCCATGAATCTAATCCATAAAATCCGTAGAATATGTGAATCCAATCCGCCAATTTAAAAAGGTTTTGGATCGGACACGGATTGAGATTTTTTCAATCCAAAAATTTTGGATCGGAAACGAATTCACCTCTAATCCGCGGATTCCAATCCGTGAACATCCCTATGAAAAAGAAAAAGAAACTATTCTACTTGTCTATCGATATAACAATTACAACCTAAAATTTATTATACAAATTATTTTGTTAACAAGCAGTGTATATATCTTATTTTTACCCTAATGGAGTGAGTTTTTTGGTGACAAAATCCAATATTTCTTACATCTACTCTATTTTGAGAGATTTTCTCAATTAACAACTTGAAAATTTAGATTTTATGAACATACTTTTCATTCAATTATAAATTTACATTTTGTACGTCTCTTTAAAACCAACAAATTATGATGTAGCAACCCAAGTAGTCCTATACGTCCATATCTAATGAGTTAAAAACAACTAATGACAATCATCACCACTTATCATAATTAGCATTTTCTTTATAAGTATATTATTTCCCGAGTAAAAAGTTAAACATAAATTCATTTTCCTAACTTTTTTACAATACACGAATTGATTGTGACAAACTCGTATGAGGCTTGGCTTCATGGTCATTCGTGATGTTCACCAGCCTCACGTGAGGTACAATTCATAGGATTCATTGGCCTTTGGCCTAGCCGTATTCTATCGGATTTGATCTCACCATTAAAAAAGATGACTACAACAAAGGCATTCGAGGAAGGTTGAGAATTTTGACCGTCAGTTGAGATTTTGCAATTCACTATGAGGCCTACTAGTCTTAATCCTAGTCAAATCTAACCCTGTGGCGACCTAGTTTGGCCATTACAAGACACTCAATGGAGGCCGAGAATCTTGAGCTTTAGTTAAAGTCGAGTTAGAGGGCGAGAATTTACCTAATGGAGACATCGTGCTTTACTAAAAATTAGAGCTTCACCATGGACTTACTTTGTTTTGGATTCTACACCTACAATGGGCCCTATTTAGGAGAGCTTTTTAAAACTTGTTTTTTAGCTTCCTAGGTCTAATAGTGTTTCTGGTTAATTTTTTGTTTTTAGCAACAAGTTTTTTCTTTTCCACTTTTAGCGACAAGAAATTTTTAATGACACGTAGATTTACGTTTAGTTTATGTATTTAGAATCATGATTCAAAATTATTTTTGTTTTACGTGTATTTTTTTTAGAGAAAACACTGTAGAGAACTATGAATCATGATTCAAAATCATAGACGAATATAAGAAACAAACGTCAGTGATGACAAATATCATTGTTGGTGATCCTTTTCTTATGTATCCACTGAAATATGCAGATGGGTAAATGATAAAATATCTACTAAAATATGCAAAGTAAATTAATTTATGTTTTATTTAAATTAATTAAATGCGTTATTGGGAAATAAGTTGTTGAACAACATCCTTGCACAGGTATCCTTTCATGAACTTTTTCCCCCATGCTATATGTGAGAAGACTGAAGTGGACTAAGATTGCAGGAACACTACATAAGACAATGTGATTGCGCGATCACAGAAAACGTTTAGTTTATAGATTCAGAATTATGATTTAGAATCATTCTCAGTTTATGTGTTTTTTTGTGAGAGAAAACACTGTAGCGAGTCACGAACCATGGCACAGATTCTTATTCCAAAAGTCCTCTACAAGCTGCGATGCAGATTTAACGCTACGCCCTTCCCTTAGTGTCTCACTCTAGGCGGGGCTCACAACCAAAGGATGCATGAGTGAAGTTGTATGTTCCCCAATATCCTTTTAAAATGCCTCTACCACCCTCTTAGCAGGTGGGTCAGTCTCAGTAATAGAGCAAGAAGAGTCCACTGATCATTAGTTACATCACAGTAGTGGTCCTCTTGCCTGGCGGAGTCAGCCCTTAATGGGCAATTCAGCATCACATTACACACCGCAGTTGAACCGTGCTTTAGACCACCGAGCATAGCAGAATGAGGAGGCTCGGCCTACAAGCTCTAGCAACCTGCTTTGACTCTATTATAAAGCAACTTCTAGAGCAAATTTCAAGAAGAAATTTCGATGATATCTTGGGTATTGTTTGAAGGCCATCAAATAACTTTGTGACAGAAGCTACAAAATTAGGAAACTATGAGCTCTTAGTCAAGGTTGTTAATTCGGTTCTGTAACTGATTTGGAAAGAAAAAAAAAAAGAGAGATGAGAATAAATAAAATATTTTATATTAGCATTGAAAGGCGTCATGAGCATATCTTCAAGACAGAATATGAGATGGGGTCAATTCAAAATTCTATAAAATTGTAAGAAAATGAAAAAGGTAATAATCTATTACATCTTGCTACGAAGTTGCCGACATCTAGGTGTGAACCAAACAAGCCTGTAGTAAAGAGAGTTTCACCATAATCTGCTCATCTTAAAGAAGAGCTATTGCGGTTTAAGATAATAATTCTTCACTCTTTTCCTCGTATGTCCTTTCACCATATTCCAAATAATTAAGTTTAATGTCATTCTTTATCAACTGATAGGAGGTAGATCATTTTGTGCTCTTATCACAACGGACTAAAAGAAATATTAAGGAAAAACTCCTAATACCTTGACTGCAGCAAGAGTGCCATCATTTAACTCCCCTTTGTATATTCTACCAAATCCTCCTCGGCCTAATTCTACTGTTGAGGAATTGGTCATTTTCTTAACATTCAAATAAGTATAGCATGTTCTTTTGTTTAAAAAATTAAAAAAAAAAAAAACAACTCGAGTTCTAATTTTATTCAAGTTCACATTCTTTTAAGTTTCAACTTTATTCAACTTTACTCAACTTTGTTCAAGCACAACTTAAACTCAAGTTATAACTCAAATTCAACTCAAAAACTACACTCAAATTACACTCCAAAAAAACAACCCTATATCTTTTTATTTGATGGGTCCATAGTTTCGTTCCTAAAGAAGGTCTCAACATTTTTTGATACTTACTAAAATGGTCTTGATGATCTCAGAGAGATGTAAAAATGGGTCAACCCGACCCGGTCTAAACTATTATCTTTTATCCCACAATAGTTGTGGGCTGGGCTGGCCTATAAAAAGACCAATTCTATGCCCAATCAGTCCAATGGGACAATTTTTTTTTAGTCGTTATCAGATCGGCCATATGAACTCATTTATGAGTTAGGATAGGTTGGCCAATTAGGGATATGGATGGGCAGCCCATTTTAGTAAGCACTTTGTCATTTTTTCCTTTTTTGCTATTTTTTAAAAAATATTTGTTTTTGAAATGGTCTTGGTTATCTCACTTTGTAGAATGTGTAATCGCTTACAGCATTCCATCCTCGAATCAACTCTCAAATTTATAATCACTTGCGTCTTTGCTTACCTTCATACCCATTATAAATAGTTGCTGATGCATTAGAGTTGATTCATAACAATATCATCACTAATTAGTCTCCGCAACAATATTATCACTTACAATATTCATCACAAATCAAATGGCAAACCTCTTCTTTCATCTCCTATCACTACTTATAAGAACCGTTCATTTCATTAATTTAAATTTTGTTACAGTAAAAAATTTTAAAAAACAGTCACATCTAATTTTTTTTTTATTACAGTAAAAAATTCTCACATAAAATCACATCTTAACTCAAATTAAAAATTCAAATCAGTAAATTAAACAGACTCATAATATCTATTACTATCTTATCGCTCTTTTTATTATTAATTAATTTTGTTGGCTCTACAAAACCTACTTTACCAATATTGCAAAAATTGGTGGCGGTCAATTAATAAGTTTCCCATGCTACACCGATGATGACGAGCATAAAGAGTGTGGATACACAGAATTTCAAATCTCGTGTAAAAACAATGGTAATGCTCCCACAAATGAGTTCCACGGTGATGGCTACATAATCAAGGACGTTTTCAACCAAACAAGACAATTATGTTCTTTAAGGTTTTTATTGATACACTTTAAAATTTGTATTAGAATTTTATTAATACATTATAAACTTTATTTTAATATTTTATTATTTATTAAAAAATTTATAAATCATTTTAACTCGTTAAATTCTTATTTTCAAATACTTAATAAAAAATTATAACTTTTAGAGTATGTTTGGTAGGAAAGAAAAGTTGAAAGAAGGAAGAAGGTGGAGGAATTTTGGGAGGAAAAATAAAAATGTAGATTGTTTGGTATGAGAGAAAAGAGAAAAGAAGAGAAAATAGAGTGAAAAATAATACATGTGGGCCCCACCATTTTTTTTCTTTCCACAAGTGGACAGAAAATGGGATGAAAAATGGGGATAACTCATTAAAATGAGCAAAGTTATTAAACTACCATTTTCTCCATCAACATCCAAGCAAAAAATTTAAAGGTATAAAAGTAATTTACGAGTAATATTTTTTTTTCCTCCCAATTTAACTTCCAATACCAAACAAATGAAAGTAAGCTCATTTTCTTTCCATCTTCTCATACCAAACAACATAAAAGAAAATTAATTTCCTTTCCATCATTGCTATTTTCCATCACTTTCATATTTTCTTTCTATCCTATTTTCTTTCCTTCCTACCGAACATAGCATTACTTTTTTTTTTTTTTTCTAGTTATTCTGTCAAATGAACCCAATGTCAAGTTTCATTGATTAGGGTGTCCATTTAACAAAAGATCGTTGAAGTTGATTAGCGAAGAAATAAAAAAATTAAAAAAAAAAGATCGTTGAAGTTAGGTCAGATCCTACATCATGGAGACAAACACAAATTTATCTCAAAATTTTCCAGTTCGCAAGTAAAAAAGCACAAAATAACTTTATAAAAGGGTTCAATGGGAAACGAAATGACCAAAATAACCCCGCCAAAAATGACCTTTCCCCCACTGTAATATAAAAGGGTCCGAAGGAAGCAGCAAATGAGAGAGCAGGGGAAGGAATGAGCGGGTAGCCATTTTCGCATTTCAACATTTGAAGGGTTTCATCTTCCTCCTCTCTCCCACTCTGCCTATTCCCATGGAATCCGAAGAGGGGCCCGCCGCCGCCGCCGCCGCCTCCTCAAGCCCGCCGCCGCCGCCACATCCCGACGCCTCTCCCGTGGGATCCCCCGATCACGCGCTTGACGATGTTCACGCGCTTCTGTCCGACGACGATCACGATCACGATCTCGGCCATGGCGATGATGGCGTTCAGGAAGAGGAGCCGGCGGCCGGAGCCGGCGGCGGCCTCACTGAAGATCTCAAACGCAAAATCATTAAGCAGGCAAGCCCTATCCACGACTTTCCTTTTTTTTACTTTATTATTATTTTTTTTTTCAGTGTTTGGTTGAGCGTTCTTGCATTTAACCCTATGAGAAGAGTTTTCTTGCCGTGCTTGGTACCTTAGAAATGGCGGAATATAGAAAAAACTGGATATTGCAAACGCCTAATTTGAAGAAAAGAGAAGCCTTTGCAAAGTTTTGCTTGATCTAACTTTATGGTTTTATCTTATATATACTCACAGATGCGTCAAGTTTTAGTATAATAAATGGCCGTGATTCTGTAGTTGTGTACGCTTGATTTGACTTGTACTTTAGACTTGAATCCTAGATATGTAAATTTGTTTGTTTGTTTTTGTTTTTTACTTATTCGGAGTGGGGCCTGGGCTCGGAAATGAAACCACTCACGTACTCAACCACTTGAGCTAGCCTCGAGTTGCAGATATATATTTTTGTTGAATAGTTTGCTTATTTAGGTGAAAAGTTGTCGAGTTTCTCAAGTTCATATCTTAATAAGTATATAATTTCTCAATTGTGCTGGAATTGATTTTTTTTTTGTGCAAAATGTCATTGATTGATTTGGAATTTGGCTAAATGCAATTGAATTGTTATGCGCTGATGCATCTAAGTAATGAATTTTAGCTTCTGGTAGAACTAGATTGAATGCTTATTCCATTATCTGAAGCGATGAAATATGCCATACTAGAAAGGAAATTCAAAATTACACGAAGCGGGAAAAAGGGAAGGGGGCCCTAAATCTATATGCTATAGAAGTAGTCCAGTTGAGAAAGAGGTTCAAATGCGGAGGAAAATAGTTTTCTTCTTCCAAATCTTGCTTTAAGAACTATGATGAATCGTTTCTAAGATATGGGGAACCTTGATAACAGCATGAAATATGTCTTTGCAAGTTATTCTGATCTAAATTTGGTACCTTCAAAATTTCTTTAGCATGACTAATATTTTCTCTGGTGGTTCTTGCAGGTGGAATATTATTTTAGTGATGAAAATTTGCGCACAGACAACCATATGAACAGTTGGATTAGAAAGAACAAAGAAGGGTTTGGTAAGTACGTTACACTACTCAGATTAAGGTATAACTATAATATCCTGGTTTCACTTCTTGGAAGAACTTGTATTCGTAGAAATAGTCTCTTGCGGTGGCTATATGTTGTTTGAAATGATGAAACTAGCAGATTTGTCGGCAGACAATATTCATCCCATTTGTGTAAGAAGTTCATGCGAGTTCCTGTTGATCTATGGTTTCATGTCTTCTCTCAGATATGTACATAATAAGCTAGTGCTGAAAGAAAGATTTCAGCAGAAGTATCTAATACTTAATTGGGTAAACTTGTAAACATGTAATTTTATACTTTTGTGTCACATGAGTTGGAAGTTTAATTTTAGTAGAAATCCTGATACTACCACCATCTTGGTTGGGTGCTTCAAAGAAAAGCTTAGATTAGGCTTGCTCTAAATCCTTGCTACCTATCTTTTGTTGTATATGCACACTCACGCTAGAGAACGTTTTTGGAGTACCTTTTTTTTAAAATTATTTTGGCATACTTTAAGTAGATTGGATGTTTTTTTTTTTTTTTTTTTATTCAAAGATTTTGTTCTGGTTATATGGCTTTCCTATCTGAGACCGATGTTTTATTGAGTGTCCTTGCTCTATTTCCGATAAGAATTTACTTCTTGACAAGAAATGTGAATCCTTACGAGACATTCATATGCAAATTCAAAATCCTGAAAATACTTAAATTGCTCAAAATTTTGAAAATTGACAGCAATAATTTTTCAAAGCTCTAGTAGCAGATGTTGTGAAATTGCTTTTGAGTCCCCCCCCCCCCCCCCCCCCGTTTAAATTCATTTCTCATTCGAAGATAAAGCTAATAGTTGAAGTACTTGGCCTCCTGGATTATGGTTATTTGTCTTACTCTTGACATTTTAATCATGCGAGACATGGAGTTCAATTTAATTTTTCCCTAGCTTTCGAAGAACTTGAATCTTTTGATGTCAATCATATTGTTGAGCAACCTATCAAGACAAGAATAGAGATGCTGAAGGTGATGAATTAAGGCAGGTACTTCTGACAGGTCTCATTGCCCAGATGTTTTCCTGGCGCTACCAGATTTGGCTGTGCCGTGCATCTGAGACTGGGCCGAATGACTATCAACTTACTGCTGACTGATTCCTTCTCTATTCATATAGATCCTTCTGCAGGATAAATTTTTGGCTGCGGTCTGCGCATATTTATACTTTCTTTTCTTCTGTTTGTTTCATTTCAGTTTTCTCTAACTTCCATTATTTCCATATGACATCCACATGTTACTAGGGGAACTGGCAATGTATTCTCATGCGCTTGTTAACAGTTTAGTTAGTCTGAACTCTAGGTTGTAATATGTCATATGGGATGCTTAATTAAGTATCTTTCTTTTGAACTGAGAAGTTTGGGGGTGTGATCTCATAGTGCAATCAAGTTTTATAACATAAAAACCTACTTGCATATACGATGCCTTTTAGCACGTCACAAGTTCGACCAATTTTGAATAAATGACATAGTAAGAAAAACGCAAGTCTTGAAATGTTACTGACTTAGTTGCTATCATTTAATTGATATTATTTTTCTGATAAGATAGCACGTATTTGTTGCAAGTACTCTACACGTTAGCCTCATATCTTCTAAGGAGACTGTTTAGACTACTATCTAATTAATTATATCCATATCTTATTTACAAATTTTTGGCATAAATGTTTTCTGCAGTTCCTGTTGGAGTTATTGCTTCCTTTAGGAAAATGAAAAAGCTTATTAGAGACAATGCTTTGGTAGCCGCTGCACTGAAGGAGTCTAACTTTGTTGTACAACTTCTTATTTTCTCTTAAGAGTCTTTAGTGCATATAATGTCTTGGCCTTGCTTTTTTTTAAGGTTCCAATGACGTACTTCTATTTTTGTAGGTTGTGAGTTCAGATGAAAAGAAGGTAAAGCGACTTCACCCTTTTCCACTCGCTGCTGTGAGGGATCCAAAGGTAATTGTTGATCCTTTGTTTATATAACTCTCTGAATTTTGTAGCCATCTAATTTGCGCACCCTAGTTATATACTGTTTTGGTAGAGAATTTACCTGAGGATCATTCAGTGGAGAATCTTCGGAGAATATTTGGTGAAGCTGGAAAGTATGTGCTCTTTGTTCTTTCTCTTCACATTGCAATATTGGTGTTTTCAACAGCTTATGATTGTGACTGTTTTTTCTAATGTTGTTTTCAGCATAAAGCACATATGCGTACGAGACCCGCATGCAACAGAAGAATCATCAAAAAGTGACAGGGCTGAGAAATTTCTCAGCAGTAAGGTTTGGAACAAAAATATATGGACCTTCCCTATATGTTGTGTGATTGAAGTTTTTTCTTTGGTAACTATTTATGATTTCATTCTGGTTTTCTTATGCAGTTACATGCCCTTGTGGAGTATGAGACTGTAGAGGCTGCTGAGAAAGCTGTGTGTTTCTAGCTGCCTTGAATATTTTCTGCATTTGATTTATGTTGCTTCAATTGATACTAAGGGTTCAGTTTCTGCTGGAAATTTTATCAGGTGGCTAGTTTGAATAATGAACAGGACTGGAGAAGTGGCATGCATGTCAAGCTTCTGAAGAGAATGGTAGTGTTCCTAAGCATTTTTCATCTTTCAATCTTTGGCAATAAGGTGGAACTAAAGTTTGTTTTATATGCCTCAGGCAAGGCATGGGCAGAAAAAACAAACTTGGAGGGGGCCTGAGCCTGAGAAGAATCATGCTGGCCGTTTGCCAGATCGGACCGGAGATGAGGGCAATCATAACTCAAGCGAGCATCATGATGATACACCTGATGAAGAGGTAAGTTGTCTTTTATGTTTTTCCCAACAGATAGAAGAAAGGGATTTACATTATTTCGCAGAGCCTTATGTTATCTAATTTTATTTAATGTTGCTCTATCATCTTAGGCTGGGCCACATTTGCACAAAGAGAAAAACGAGCATAGAGATAGAGGTAGAAATCGAGGACGATCGGGCAGACAAAAACATCGTGGTCCTAATGGTACTTTAGACAAACCACTCCTTTTTGTTTTTGTTCCTTTTCTTCTACATAAATGTTATATTTCAATTAAACATCGTACATTCTGCGCCTCCTCAGGTCATGGAACTACTTGGTCTGGTCATTCCCACGAACCACCAAAGCCACCGCCTGGCCCCAAAATGCCCGACGGAACTAGGGGATTCACAATGGGGCGTGGTCGACCTCCAATTTCCAATCAAAGTTAGCATAGCCACTGCTGATCATCTTACGTTTAAAACATTCTTGTGAATTTATCCATTTTCCACGCATCCATTTTCCACACATTGCAGTGAGCGTGGAATTTGGAAGTTGCTGGAAATGGACGCATCTGGAAGTGTTTGAAAGTGCGTGTGCAATGGACAACCCATGTATTTCGTATTTATCTTTTGTAATATTATAATTTGTATGAAAATTCGTCTTTCATGGTGTGTATGAATTGCTTTCTAGATGACATAAACGGCATGAAAACAAGTATGACAATCGAAAACTTTTTCCTTTTTCTTTTTTCCCCCTTTGAAAGTGAATACGTGAACGTGTATTTGAGTTCTTTCAGTAATGTGGAGTGTAGACGTATTTAATATTTATCTTTTCCTTTTCATAATTGCTCGTGAAAATTTCTCAAATTATATGTTTACATTGTTGTCTATTTGTTGTGAAAAGTGGGAAAAAAAAAAATGGTATTGTACCAAAAACTTATTTAACAATGAAAAAGAAGTTTTTGCTGCAAAATGGTCTGATTAGAAAAAAGCAAATCACGCAACATGCTATAGGCTGGCATTTCCCAAGTCAGTTCGAAACAATTTTCTCTCAACTAACTTTTGTGCTCCAGGTGTTAGATGAGCAGTGCAGTGTAGTAACACGATTGACAAAATTTTAAACGTGGCATGAGTGCCAACGCGCTTTTTTTTTTTTTTTTTTATTTATTTAGGGCCAATAATAGTAGATAAGTTATTGATTTATTTTCTTGAGAAAGCTTAACTTATTCGGTTTAAATTTCTATCACTTTTTTTATTAATACTTTTTAATTGATATAATTATTTTACTAAAAAAAGATATTAATTAATAATAAAAGGTAAAAATTCAACTCAATACTCTTAAGAAATATTCATCTACTTTCTCTTTTTCGCCATGTTTAGATGATTGATAGATCAAGAGAATTTTATTTACAATAATTGTTGCATCTTTTCCTAGAAATTGTGTATAAATAAAGAAATTGTGTGGTAGGGCATCTTACTTGGGAAGATGTTGATTGTAATTGTACTATTTAAAAAAAGCGGTTTTACTCGCAAATAAATAAATAAATAAGTAAAAAAAAACGTTGTGTAATTTTCTTCTGGTATATCAAAATGCTCAAAGCTTGAAATTGCCTTAGAATTTAGATAAAGACTAATCTCCAATTTAAATATTAAAATTAATGTCATATTCAATAAAATATATACATATTTGTTTTTTTTCTATTTTATTATTCCGTAAATAATAAACTCTTCAGCCGTTTCCAACACAATAATACGTGTAGAGCACGTTACAAAACTAGTAACTATTGAAAAAAACAAAGAAAAGTGATTGTTTGCCTAATCTAACGATAATGCAAATCAACCCTGATAATTATCTTTTTTATCGGGGAATCCTTCTCACCAAGTGGCAGAGCTTATTATCAGCACTGGGATTTGGAACCAGGCGAACTAATTCAGTGAAATTAAGTGGGAAATTAGACCAAACTAAGACGAACTAGTATAAGTAAAGCTATAACTTGTTTTGTTTTGAGGGAACCACTTTGTGGTTAGATTTATACATTGTTTGTCAACATAATGTGTCGAGGTCTAATTCAATTGTTAGAGTTAACAATATATCAAATTTTTGTTTTTTTTTTTTTTTTTTTGGAAATAACCATATATTACACAACGGGAAAATTGCTGAAGACTATCATTTTGTTTAAACTCAAACGTCAAATAAATTCAATCGTGTGATAAACAAGTACAATAAGCTCAGAAATTGCGATATTAACTCAACTTGAACTTATATAAAAAAACCCCAAAAGAATAAAGTTAAAATTGGTCCCGTTCTTTTCGCTGATTCAAGTTTAGAATTCGAGTTTTGCTACAGTAAAAAGCTCTCAGAAACAGTCATATCTAACTTTTTTACTACAGTAAAAAGCTCTCACACAACATCACATCTCAACTCGAATTAGTGAACCGAACGGACCCAAAAGTTCGAACATGTAGAAGATAATGAAGGACAATAACTCCAACATAATATTCCAGCAAGAACCAATTTTTGTTACATGCATTAATGTGTTACTATAATCTTCTTTGGACAAGCTAAAAATAAAACAATTTAAGTGAACAAGTTTCCTGTTTTGAAAGGACAAATTAATAAACATTCAATCCCGGTAACATGGATTAAATCAGAATAAAATTTGCATTTGAGTTGGGGGCATTTTTGGAAATGAAAAGAAGAAGGAAAGAGAAATGGAAAGAAACTAAAGGCTCGGATCAAAATTATGGACGCTTTTAAAACTCGTTCTAAAATAATTTTATTTTTTGTATAAAAATAAAAATTAAAACGTTTTTAATCTCAGACAAAAATTATTTTTGAAAATGCGTTTGGTAGTTTTATTAAGAGATTATTTTCAGTGTAAAAAACTCATTAATGTCTCTTTTTCTCTCTTTCTGCGCGAGAGAGGAGAAAATAAAAATAAAAAATAAAAAATGACTAAAAGTTGTTTTTCATTTCTCTCTCATTTTACACTAAACTAAAAAATCATTTTCATTTCTGTTTTTTGTATTTATTGCGCCAAACGCCGTTTTGAAAACGTTTTCATTTTTTCCTTCTCAAAAAACATGAAAAATAAAAACGGGATCAATTCCAAACACGGCCTAAATCTCTCTCCCACTCTCAACATCACTCTCACTGCCCTCTGCAAAACTTTCTCGCTCAGTTGCGAGCATAACAGAATCTCTGTTAACAATCTCTCTCTCTCTATATTAGTGACAGAGCTAGCTTTTTACTTAGTGGGGGCGTAATTAATTTTTTTTTAACAAATTAATGAGATGAAAAAGTATGAAAGGTTAGGTAGATAAAAAGTCAAAAAAGTGTAGGGGCATATAAAGAAATATATTTATATTTCAGTGAGATTTATGTGTAAAATCTTAAAATTTTAAAGAGTAATATTTTTTTTTAAAAAAATTGAGTAGGAGCGGTAGCCCCCACTCAACTATATGTACATCCGCCAGCGTATGATATACTAATAATTATCGAGTCAGGAAGCACTCTTCTTCCTTTTGTAATGAGTTTAGTTTGTTATTATGAGATGTATCTAACTTATTATCTTATTTTTTAGGATTTAAGTTATGTTATGTGTGCAGAAAAACTAATAGAGTTGACCACATTTTGACTACTTATACTCTTAATATAGATGATAAACTAATTTAGTTAGAAGAAATTCTAATATTTATAGAATCTAGTATTGTATCATACGTTTATTATTATTTATAATAAGAGATTCTATTCTAAAAAACGATAATGCAAATCTAATTGGATTATTACAGTTCGAATCTCTTTAATTTAGTTAAAAAAACAAAAAAATAAAAATAAAAGGAAAAGTTTCTAAAAAGAGGGAAAAAAATTGAAAATGGAGGAACGGCAGAAACAGAAGAAACATTTCCGGGATTTTCGAAGCTGCCCGCGTGTCTTTCGGCATTTTCTTTCCCTCTCTTACTTGTTTGTTTATAGATAGTTTTTTTTTTTTTTTTTTTTAAATCTTGTTTAATCATAGTTTTGTTTGGAGTCTCAGATCATATCTAACTAAAAAACAATATAACTAAATCAAAATTATTATCACTAATTCTCCCTTATTCTCAATTTATTCTTAAATTTTAAAAATTTTAACTTTATTTTTTGAATTTTAAATTATTTACGCTTAACTTTTTATATTACAATTTCTATTAAAAATAAATAAAAAAAGAAAATAATACTATAACCTGGTTTTTTTATTTAAATTTTTATTAAAAAGAAATATATAAAAATTACGTAATTACATTTATGGTCCGTTTAGTTTGTTAATTCGAGTTTTTAATTCGAGTTGAGATGTGACTTGAGAGTTTTTTACTGTAATAAAAAAGTTAGATGTGATGGTTTCTAAAAATTTTTTACTGTAACAAAATTTGAATTCTAAACTCGAATCGACAAAATGAATATGACTTTAATATTTTGTTTATGAAAATTTTTAAAGTTTAAGAAAGAAATGAGAATGAATTAATTCAAAAATCAAATAAAAAAAGGAATAAGAATAGTCGAATATAAATCCCAACCCCACACCAACGCACCATTAATGTTCATGGCCTCCTCCTCCTTCCTTCCTTGCACCAACCTCCTCAACATCTCCGCTCTCTTCTTCTTCTTCTTCTCTCTCTTCTTGAAGATATGAAGCTCCACTCTCATTTCCATTCTCCTCTGCTGGATCTTCCCCTTCTCTCTCCTCCTCTTCCAGGCCTTTCTCGCTCCTCCCGACTGCGCTTCCTTCCCGCGCTTCCTCAATCACCGCCCGCTTTCCTCTTTCAAACCTCCGATTCTTCTTTCACTCCCAAGGTTTGTTTTCGTGTCTTCGATTTCAATCTTTCTTTGTGTTTTTCGTTTTCTCGAATGATCATTAACTGTTCAAATTCCAGTTTATTGATTTATTGATTCATCTCATCGTTCTGATGATAACGTTCTGTTTTTGTAGTTTTCCGGATCGAAAACTCGGCGACGTGCCCGCCGATTGCGCCGGAGACATGTCCGATTCATGGTTTTTGATGAGGTGCAGTATTCTCTTTAATTCCAATGCTATTAATAGTATTGTTGTTGTTGTTTTTGTTTGAACTTGGAGTGGGGGATTCGAACTTGATCTGTTTTGATCACTTTATGCCTGCTGAGTATGACCCGTTTTGATTTTGGAGAGAATGTGAATAACAATTTTGAGAGGTTTATTTTTGTTTCTTATTAGGACTCGGTTGATATACCATTACTTGATGATTGGGGTGACAATGATGAGACAAAAGGGTATGTGGTTTCTTCAAGTGATGATGAAAATAGTGACACTGAATTTATAGTAACTCCCGTTACTGAAGTTGATTTGCCTACTGCGACTATGTCGAGTAATAATGACGCTCTCAATGTGGCGACCCATCGGCTTGGAATGGTTGGGAGAGGGCATAAGAAACACAGGCAAGTATGGCTACCTTAATGCTTGTTTGTAATTTGGATTACTTGTTATTGCATAAAGTGGACCAATCTTTAAGGTCAATCTTCAACTTTGTGGATTGCTGGTTATAATTCTGAATTGAATCTTTTTATTTTTAATCTGGATTCTGAATTAAATCTATAATTTTCCCACTTACAATTTTGCAATATGTGTTTGATGTTTGTCTTAGTTGCTAAGAGCTTGTTTGGTAGGAGGGAAAAGTGGGCGGAGGGATAGAGGTGAGAGTATTAGTGGAAGGATTTTGGGACCTATGGTTGTTTGGTAGGAGGGAAAAGAGAATAGAATGGATTGGAGAGGGATTTAATATATCTCTTCCAATATGGAGGGATTAGAGGAGGGAATCCTATCGAAGGCAATAACAGAAAGGTTCTCTCGTTTCTCTCTATTCTTCCTCACGTAGGTTATATTCCTTTCTTTTCTTCCTATTTTCTTAACACAACCTAAAAGTTAGCCTTAGTTTGCAATTGGTGGATACTTGTATGTTTTTTAGTTCTACTTCATTTAGTTTGTAGCTACAATAAATGCTCTAAACAAGTTTCACATATGCCTTTCCTGACCTTTATCCTTTTGTCTGTTGGATGGCAAGTCAATAAGTCTATGAAAATATCAATTGACTATAGTCCTTTACACACTATCCTTGCAGGACTAAATATGGAGTGTTACTGAATACAGGGCTGATACTCTTCTTGTCCATGGTACTTGTGTATGTGGATTGGTGTGCATGGCGTATTGTCAGACTACCTCTAGCACCATTTCATTTGACCCGCCCCTTTCTCATATCAGCCATACTGGCCTCCTGCGCCGGCTATGTTTGCGTCCCTTTACTCTATGGCTTGAAGATGTATCAAATTATCAGGAAGGAAGGGCCTGCGAGGCATTCTATGAAAAAGAGAACCCCAACAATGGGTGGATTGTTTTTTGTGCCAATAGGTGTAGTTGTTGCAAAGCTTATTGCTGGTTCCTCTTGTCCTGAAGTTTCTGGTGCAGCTGCGGCAACTTTGGCCTTTGGTGCAATCGGGCTACTTGACGATATCTTCATCTTAATCAAGAATCACAGTAGTGGTTTATCGGGGCGTCTAAAACTTCTCTTGGAGGTGAAGCTTTTGCACATTATTTCTTTTAGGACTTTAAATGTACCTTGCTTCATGTTTTACTTGTTGACAGTTGACACCATTACGTTGCAATGCTTGCCAGGTTGCAGTTGGGGCCTGCTTTTCATTTTGGTTGAATACCACAAGTATCGTATCACCCTACGGCATGTATACTTTCTCGTAACTAATCTGATCAATTTCTGATGGTAAATAGCATGTGTATGTTGGGGTAACAAGCTTAAAGAGGATTAAATAGCAAAAGAAGAGAACAAATGAAAATATTGCTTTTTTATATAGATTGCTAAACCATGAAAAGTTATGGGTAAGATTAATGCCAATGCCCATTCACATTATCTTATATAATTACTGGAAGAATAACTGCAGTTTATATTTTATGATGCAGGAAAATGTTGGTTCCACTGCCTGCGCCGCTGGGCCTTGTTCACCTGGGAAAATGGTATCTAATGTTGACTTCATTTTGTCTTGTTTCCATGGGAAACGGGGTTAACTTAACAGATGGTCTTGATGGATTGGCTGGGGGGACTGCTGCATTGGCCTTTGTAGGAATGTCTATTGCTGTTCTTCCAATATGTCCTGGTTAGTACAGATCTCTTTGAATCAAGTTGATTACAGTCACTGTTTTCTCTAAATTTCAACATTTGACTTTTTTATTTCTGTTTCATGGTTTAAGCATATATTTTGCATTTTGTGTCTAAATGTTACCAAATAAATGGTCAGAAGTAAGCAGAGATTGAACACGTATCTGGCTTCCCACCTGTATGCTAAAAATAAATCTTAGCTATGTTCAAGGCCAGCTGCTGATAAGGTGTTTAATTTGTTTGTAACATACCCAACAAGTTCTAACGATGTCGCTATGCATCCATGAATTTAGGGCAGTTTGTGTGTTTGCCATATTTAGATGTAATTTTAATAACCAAGTTAAGCATACAATTGAAGCTTCAAACAATACATTCAAAGTTCAGAACACTATAATTTAAAAAAAAAAAAAAAAAAAGTTCAGAATACTATAGACTGGTTACTCTCTTATGCTAGTTGCATTACTTAAAAGTTGCATGCAATTTTAATTCCAATATGGCTAGTTAGGAAGATTATTTGCTACATGACATTGCCATTTAACCGTCTAGCCTTTCTGGGGAAAAAGAGTATTACCATTTTCTTTACTTTCTGTACCAGATGTTTCTATGTTTGGGGCATCAATGGCAGGAGCCTGTGTTGGTTTCCTTTTGCACAACCGATACAGAGCATCTGTTTTCATGGGTGATACTGGATCCTTGGCACTAGGTGGCGCTTTAGCCGCGATGGCTGCCTGTACGGGAATGTTTTTTCCATTATTCATTTCATCTGGTATCTTTGTGGTGGAAGCATCATCGGTTATTATGCAGGTTTATTAGCCCCCACCCTATTTAATCTGTTAATGCTATACTTTTTCCATGTTTTCACTACCTCTCTACATGTCTGCGCTTCTGTCGGTTGTTTGGATATTGACAGGTTATGCTATACGTATGGTTATATGCTGCATTTTACAGTTCTGACTCTGGCATTGTGTTTCAGGTTCTTTACTTCAAGACAACCAAATACTTTCAGGGTGCCGGTCATCGCCTGTTCCAAATGGCACCTATTCATCATCATCTTGAACTACGTGGAATCAAAGAACCATTGATCGTTGCTGGTGCATATGCTGTTTCATCCGCTTTGGCTTTGTTTGCAGGTTATTTGGGCCTCATTTCTGCATAGGAATTGAAATATTTGCCTAACACAGCTTGGTAGTTAGTTAGACCAAGACAGAAAAAGGGGGGGAAAAAGAAAGAAAGAAAGAAAGAAAGAAAGAGGTTTAGCTAGGATTAGTTTCTTTCATTTTTTTCTTTGATTCAAATTTTTTTTTTCTTTTGAGTTAAAAGTTTTTCCTTTAACCTACTATTTTACACCTTGATTGGAAAAGCGGAGCAATAGGGCTCTTGAAGCTGATTTGCACGTCAATTCTACACCAATTTGACGAGAAGATTAATGTTTGTTATCTTGAGCTTGTAAGATGAAAGCAATTAATCACTTCCATATTAGAAGTTGTAAAATCAATTTAAATGTTTCGATTATATTTCTTCAATATATATATTTTGTATTCATGTGACATTACATAAAACATTAAAACATCAAAATCTTTTGGTGGCCTAATATGTTCTACAGTTCAATATCACGTGGCTTCTCAAAATATTTCAGAAGAATCTCTTTGCAATTTTTTTAAACAGGGCAAAAATGAAATTCTTGAAAAATTCATAGATTAAAATGAAAATTTCCAAAAATGGCAAAATAATGTAAATTAAATTTCAGGTACTAAAATATCAATATTTGTTATTGAATATTTAATTTGACACACTAATAATCTTAATTTTACATTATTAAGCACACTGAATAAGTCCTAATTTTGTGGTACAGACATATTTGAAATACAAGTCGAACATATTAAAAAAGTAACAAATTCAAATATTTGACACCTATTCTTAAACCATAATTACTCACATATGTATCTTATTATAATTGTCACAAAACAACATAAACTAATGCATACTTGACTAATTTAACATATTAATAAAATAAGAAATTCGTAAAATTAATAAATTTCTTCAACCATAATTGATAGCATATCCTATAATTTTCCCATGATAACAACGTAAATTAATTAGCAAAAACCAAACTATCATCATCATAAACAAAATGAACTAACAAAAAAATCACCATAAAATATAAAGTAATTCAATCTCAAGAACTAAAAAATATGTTTATAGCCACAAACAAATACAATGTACCTAAAAAAATTAAGTAATCAAACCACAAAAATTTAAATCCATGCAAAAGTTGATAAGAAATTAAAAAAAAATAAAAGCAATCACAAAAAAATTCGAAAGGAGCGACAGCTAACGCCTCGCAATGGAGGAGCGACGGTTGACGTGGTATGAAAATCCAAAAAACGGAGATTTTCATGCCACATTTTTTAATTGCTAGAAACTATAGTGTATTTATAGCTGTGAAACCAATAGTTTATAGTAGTGAAAACTCATTAGTAAATTAATCAAGAGCTATTTTGTAAACTAAATGTTTTCAATCTATGAGCTCATTTGGTAATGTCTATTTAGGCCTCATTCATTTCACTGATTCGAGTTTTCAATTCCAGTTTTGCTATAGTTAAAAACTCTTACAGAAAGTTACATCTAACTTTTTTACTACAGTTAAAAGCTCTCACATAAAATCACATCTCAGGTCGAATTGAAAACTTGAATCGGCGAACTGAACGAGACCTTAAACAATTTTTTGTTTTTTAAATAAATTTTTTTTTCAAAACACGTTTGATTATCTTTTATTTATGTAAAAATATTTCCAAAAAAAAACTGCTCCTTTTTTTAGTTTTTGCCACAATTGTACTTCAAACTTATCGTGATTTAGCAAATGGCCCCCTAAACTTTTAATTTTGGTAAGCTGCCTCCTGAACTTATAAATTTATTGCAATGTGCCCCATTTAACTAAATTTGCTCAATTTTTTTTACAAGATTTAAGGGATTGAAAGTTGAGATATTGAAAGATTTGTGTTATATTTGAATTAGAATGTTGAAATTTTTAGCTGAACGTGTTTTTTAACACTAATTTAACACAATCGTATTTAAGGGATTAAAAGTTGAGATATTGAAAGATTTGTGTTATATTTGAATTAGAATGTTAAAATTTTTAGCTGAACGTGTTTTTAACACTAATTTAACACAATCGTGGTCAAAATGAGACATATTGTATTAATTTTACAAGTTGAGGAGGGCAACTTATCAAAATTAAAATTTTAGGGGATAATTTACTAAACCACGATAAATTTAAAGGACAAATGTGCTAAAACATATGCTATCTAATGTAATTTTTACCAAACAATAATAATAAAATAATATATTAATAATGATGATTACACCAATAATAATAAGTCAACAAAAAAAGTGGACACTTTACAATTAGTTAATATTTGAGGCCAAAAATGAAAATATGAAAGGTATTGACGCCTTCCCATAAATATCATAAAAACTCGGTCAATTCTGTAAAATTGAATTTTGAGGATCTCGTCGCAAAACCCTAAATTGGTCTATCATATAGAATCGAAATGAACACAATCACGAAAGCCTCACTATTTCTTCCGTAGGGTTTGTTAAGGCGACGAAACTTACTGAGTCGCCTCATAACCCTAGTTTCTTAATCTCGTCGCTTCGTCAACATGGTAAGCCAATTGAACAACTTTAGTTTCTTCTTCTCCATATATTTTCTTACTCACCGATCTGTATCTGCTTACTCCGTTTAGCTTTAAAATACACGTTTATGTGGATAGAAACCTAGGATTATAGATTGGTTTTCTTTCTTCGCGGATCTAGAATGCTGTTTTTCATTTTTTTTTATCTGAAGAAAGATTTTAGATTTTAATTAATTTTGGGATAAAGTAATTGCGTTTTTGGGGCATTTACATTTTAAGCAGAGTTTATCGTATGGTGCTAGCTTTTGTAAATTTTTGTAAGAATTTTTAGATTTTGATTTTCTTGTATAACTTTGAGATACTTTTTGTTCCAAGTTTGGAACGATTTTAGTCAGTTTTACATTCAGAGTATAGGTAGAATAATGCAGAAAGTAATTCTTTTAAGTGAAAAAGGGGGAAGAAAGTATTGTCCGTAGCTATTTATGTTGTTACAGATATTCAAGTTTTTCCTTTTCCTACTTTTGAATTCCTTCGAAGCCTGATTTTGTGGGCTTATGATGCCGATACACTTGGGGTTTTTTTTTTTTTTTTTTTTTTTTTTTTTTTTTTTTTTTTGTGTTGAAAAGAACTAGGCCTTTTGTCCTTGTAATTGAAAGATTGAATCGATTCGAGTATAGCAGTTGTTGTTGTGAGACCTGCATTTCTCTTCACAAAATCCTGCAATTAATAAAAAATGGCTTATTAAATTTGCGTATTGGAAATTTCTTTTAAAAGATGTAGTGGGATGTCATGTTAAACGCATTTGTGCGGTATTTTTAGAACATCGTTGGAGGTCTCATTTTTATTTGATGTAAGTTTTATGGACGGTTAACAAGAGTAAAAACACACACAAATATATATATATATACATATATATATATTCACTCTTGGTGTCTTTTCATGGAGGGACACTGCTTTGACATTACATTTGTTCTTTCACCATTATATCTCTGACTACTAATAATTTGTTATCCAATGATCTAGTAATTTTTTTCGACTTCCTAGTTTTTGTCTTAAATGGTGTGATATTCTTTTCAGGCATCTAAGAGGAAGAACAGGGAGCCAAAAGAAGAAAATATTACCCTTGGACCTGCTGTCAGAGAAGGAGAGCACGTCTTCGGTGTCGCACACATTTTTGCATCATTCAATGACACCTTCATCGTAAGTCTAGTTCGTTTGTTGTGTGATTATCATGTATAATTTTCTTGTTGTTTCTTAACTTTTAAATATATCTATATATGTGTAATTATCTGGTGCTAATTCATTTCTTTATTGAATGCAGCATGTAACTGATCTGTCTGGAAGAGAAACCCTTGTTCGCATCACTGGTAGGGACAATATTTCTTATTGGGGAAGCTTTATATGCGCTGAACCTAAATTGGAGTTGAATCTGTTTTATTGGTTGTTTTGGTTTAGCGTAGTTTACTTTCTTGTCATTTCTGTTCAATGTTAGCAGCATAATGTGTAATCTATTATCTACACCTTGACATATTAAGAAGTTAAAGAGTGCTATAAATAGTTTATTATCTGTAGCAGGATTTGTTTGTGCAATCAATGTTTTGAGACGTCTGTTTCAATATAGAATTTCTACAATTTGATATATGCTTAAATGTTTATGTCCCTCCCAATACAGGTGGTATGAAGGTGAAAGCTGATAGAGATGAATCTTCTCCATATGCTGCCATGCTTGCAGCGCAGGATGTTGCACAGAGATGCAAGGTTGAGAGCCCCTCATCATAGTCTCACCAATTTTCTAGCTTGTATCATTTATTTATTTCTGAAATTTTAATCAAAGTTTATTTTGGTAATCAAGTAAACATATTTTTGGGAGTTGGACTAGTGATTTTACATTATGCAGTTGTATTGGATTGAGCGTGTTGCTTCCTATAATACTGGCTAAGCTCTAAGTTTGTTCATGCAGGAACTGGGCATTACTGCTCTTCATATTAAGCTCCGTGCTACTGGAGGGAACAAAACAAAAACCCCTGGTCCGGGTGCTCAGTCTGCACTCCGTGCTCTTGCTCGTTCTGGAATGCGAATTGGTCGTATTGGTAAGGCACTATTTTCTTGAAGCTCCTTCCCATAAGATATCTACCTATTTGGAGGCGGAAAACCCATTGAATGATTATGAACTTTTGAGTATTGCTGTCTTCTTTTCACCATATTTTTTAACTAACTCAGCCACACCCATTTGTTTCTTGACTGCAATGGATTATTTGTTTGCGCCATATATGTTCAAACAAACTCTGATCTTTCTTCTTTACCCCTCCCCTCCCATACTCTAATTATCTCTGTTTTTCAAAACCTATTTAGTAGAATGTATTTGCAAGCGTTTTATTAGGTTGCGTGGCAATGACATGAAATACGGGACGCTTAATGGATATTTCCATGATGCCATTTTTTTGACGCTTTAAATAATCAATAATCATGTTTGAGAAGTTGTTGATTCATGTCCTTTTATTTTTCAGAGGACGTCACACCAATTCCTACTGATAGCACTCGCAGAAAGGGTGGTAGAAGAGGTAGAAGGCTGTAGGCTTGTTTTTTTTTTACGTGGCCGAGTTATGCAGTGGCAACTGTTGCGGTTTCACTTTGCATGGGATGAGAGACTTTGCTAAAAGTTAGGTTGATGTTATTTTCCAGTTTGAAATGATATGTAGTTTTCTCAACTTAGTTAGACTTTGTCAAAGATTCATTTCAAGATGTAGAAAGAGTGTGCGATACTGAGTTGCATTGGCACTTGGAAACTTTTTGAAAAATTTCTTGCCCGTTGGTTCGTATTTACGCTCGGCATCATGAGCAAGTCCTTTTTATGTATGGATTTTTTTTTAATTGCACTCTCTCTCTCTTTTCCGTTCTCCATGATTTTTTTTTCCTTCCACCAATTAGTTGGCAATGGCAACTATTCGTTACATTGTAAATGCAGTGTTTTGGGGTTGAAGTTATATACCTAGCGATAAATCACTCCCTTTCCACTGTTAGGGTAAAGAAAAACAAACATGCAGTCTTTTGTGTGCTCAATTTGAATAACTCTAATCAGATTGGATTCCTCCCCTACTTTGTGTGACTTCCGGTTGTCTCGGGTGCATGGCACGGCATGGCACGTTGCCCCGTGCATTGAGCCGATTGTGTAGATCAGTGGTAGTATGCATCTTTGACCCTCGGGTCATGTGTAGATCAGTAGTAGTATGTATCTTTGACCCTCGGGTCATTGTTGTTGTCGTCTACATTGGTTCCTACCCTGTCGAAGACGTCTTTGTCCTTTTAATCTGAGCGCAATGGGGCACTCACTCTGAGGTAAGGCATTCGGGTGCTTGTGTGCTTGGTGTGGTTGCTACTGTATCAGTGAGCTCCTTTGCTGACCCCTCTCAACATTCCTCTCAACATTCCTTGCATTTTGCAAGATTGTTGGCGTGTCTTGTTGGCAGTTGGTCGGTAGACTGATGAGCTCTGTTCAAAGTGGTGATAAGCTCGATCATTAGGCTCGCCAACGCATACACATGTGCAACGTGCCTCGGGCCTATTCGCACATGATTGTGTGGTGCTCTTGGAGTCCTCCCCCCCCCGACTGGCGCCAGCTCCTCTCACTAGGGTCCTTAAAGTATTAGCTCGATTTGTGCTTGAGTTGTTCTCACTTATCATATTGAATGATAACTTGCAAAAGAAAAGTAAAAGTTCAATCTGGTGGGAGCTCGAGGATGTTAATAGCTCCTCCTCTCTAACATTAAAATTTTAGAGTAAAATCTAGTCCAACACTAAATCATTTTAGACTAACTACTCAAATCAAACAAACAATTATGCGAAGAAAATTTTATGGACACTTAGGAACACAAATAACATTGGGAAATAAAACGAGTAAACAATAATTCTTTTTCATATTTAGTAGTTATATTTATTATGTATATAATTTAGTCCCAAGAAATTTAATTCGATAATGTTTTTCTTTTTCCTTAGAAATTTCGTACTTTAAGTGAATGTCCTCACTTTTTATTTTATTTTAAAAAAACTTCTTTCATAAATCGTTAATTGATTTTTGATAAATTATTGATTAATTATCATAGACTTACAACAATGTCTAATATATTATTTTTCAATCACATAAATAATTAATTCCTAATACTTTTTTTTAGGGAAAAAATTTCATTTCATTAAGACAAAATTACATGCTCAAACTAGTCGCAAGTGAGCACCAGCTAAAATGGAATTCGACCCCAAACATTGACTGGATTCACCAGTAAAGACGGATGAAGCACAAGGGGGAAAGACAATTGCCGAGACTTGACGGGGAAAGACTCACTTGGCACATAAAGATTGAGCGCGACCAATGCTCGTTAAACAGAACCACTACAATCGACGGCTTAACTCAGTCGACTAAGACTAAATCCCAAATAATAGGGACACAAGCGACACGACATAGAATCAAATCTAGTTGGATACCATTACCCAAGATATCGATAAATGGGTGGGATACATTGACATAATCGGAAGGCGGGAAAACCACCTCCATTATTATAAAACTAACACAAACCAAACAACATAAACCAACACCAACAAGGCGGAAGTATCAACGCCTTTATTACAAAACAAGAAAAGCAAGGAAAAAAACAAATAGCCATAGCCAATAGGGAGGACTCAACGACAACAAGCTTACCATCGCGCCACGGGTTAGGCAATCAAATATGAGAAGAGCCGCCACGAAAGAAGCATAACTGCCGACCACAAAACTAGATACAAAGTTTCCTAAACGAAGCATTGTACCATCGGGATCAACCTCCATGCCACAGGCCCACCAGAAACATCCTGCTTCTCACATTGTCGAAAACTCTAAAGCTTCCATCTTTGGTTGGTAGCGAACGCTCCACACATCACGCCTCCTAGATCCGTCCACCACGACCGCTACCACACCGCACCCATCAGCCGCAAGAACTACTCACGAGACCCAGGCTACCATCTCAAGGGGTTGAGAGTCCAAAACCATCTAGAGGAGGCATCCAAACTCCGACTCTAAGAAGAAAATCAAAGAGAGAAACCCTAGCCGCTTCTATGAAAGAGAGAGGAAGAGAAGAAAAGTTTTTAGTTTTAATTTTCCTAACACATTTTTTAGTTTAATTACTTTTTTATTAAATAAGAGCCCCTTTTCACACTGGATAATTTTTATTACTTACTATTACTTATTACCTGGGGACAAAAATGAAAATATAAAAAGATTATGTTGCCTTTCATAATACATCACAAAAAGTTGGCCAATTCTGTAAAATCGAATTTTGAGGATGTCCTCGCAAAACCCTAGACTTTGTCTGTCATATAAAATCGAAGCGAAGACAATCACAACAAAAGCCTCACTATCTTCTTCCACAGAGTCTCTGCAGGCGACGACAGTGAAAGTCTCCTAAAAACCCTAGTTTCTCAATCTCGTCGTTTCGTCAACATGGTAAGCCAATCGAACAACTTTATTTTCTTCTCCTCCATAGATTTTCTCACTCACCGATCTGTATCTGCTTACTCCGTTTAGCTTGAAAATACATGTTTATGTGGATAAAAACCTAGGATTATAGTTTGATTTCTTTCTTCGCAGATTTAGAATGCTGTTTTTCATTTTTTTTTCCTGAAGAAAGATTTTAGATTTTAGTTTTGGGATAAAGTAATTGCATTTCGGGGGCATTTACATTTTAAGCTGAGTTTATTTTATGGTGTTAGCTTTTGTAGATTTTTGTAAGAATTTTTAGATTTTGATTTTCTTGTATAACTTTGAGATACTTTTTCTTCCAATTTCGGATAGATTTTAGATAGTGTTACATTCGGAATATAGGTAGAATAATGCATAAAGTAGTTCTTTTAAGTAAAAATGGGGGAAGAAAGTATTGTCTAGCTAATTATGAAATTACAGATATTCAAGTTTTTCCTTTTCCTGCTTTTGAATTCCTTTGAAGCATGATTTTATGGGCTTATGATGCCTATATACTTGGAACTAGGCCTTTTGCCCGTGTAATGGAAAGTTTGAAATCAATTCGGGTATAGAAGTAGTTGTTGTGAGACCTGCATTTCTCTTCACAAAACCCTGCAATTATTAAAAAATGGCTTATTAAAAATTTGCATATTGGAAATTTCTTTTAGAAGATGTAGTAGGATGACACGGTAAATGCATTCATGCGTTACTTTTAGAACATCTTTGGAGGTTTCCTTTTTATTTGATCCAAGTTTTATGGACGGTTAACAAGATTAACAACATATGTTATGATACTGTGGAAATGGTAAATTTTACTGATAATGCACTCTTCGAGACAGTGCCAATCTCCTTAACAAACAATTCTTCTCTCAGCGTACCCTCCCCAAATACAAGTGTTTCCCTTATATCCTCTCCCTTCCCAGTAGCAAACGAAAATAAAATGAAATAGAAGAACGAAAAATAACAGGATAGCAATTCGGGTGTCCCGCAATTCTCGCGATGCCTCAGCATCCTCCATTGAGCTCAAAACCGTTAAGCCACTTTGGCCTTCGACGTTCTCTGTCCTCACGCGCCTGAACTGTCTCCCTCGCTGGAACCTTCTCAGCCTCAGAGCTTCTTTGTTCAGCTCCTCTTCAAAACGCAACCGTGCCCTTGTCGTTTCAGCCTGTGAACTTGGGCCTTGGGTCTTGACTTCTTCATCCCGATGGACTCCCTTGTTGGCCTCATCTTGGGCTTCCGTCTCAGCCCTCCCCTTCATCATCTCTTGGATTCGGTTGGCATTGAGAACCAACCCGGACCAGCTATCATGTTATCTTTGACACTGCTTTGACATGTACATTTGTTCTTTCACCATTACATCTTTGACTACTAATAATTTGTTATCCAAAGATCATAGTAATTTTGTTCGACTTCCTAGTTTTTGTCTTAAATGGTGTGATATTCTTTTACAGGCGTCTAAGAGGAAGAACAGGGAGCCAAAAGAAGAAAATGTTACGCTTGGACCTGCTGTCAGAGAAGGAGAGCACGTCTTTGGTGTTGCACACATTTTTGCATCATTCAATGACACCTTCATTGTAAGTCTAGTTTTTTTGTTGTGTGATTATTATGTATAATTTTCTAGTTCTTTCTTTAAATATATCTATGTATGTGTAATTATCTGGTGCTAATACTCATTTGTTTCTTGAATGCAGCATGTTACTGATCTGTCTGGAAGAGAAACCCTTGTTCGCATCACTGGTAGGGAAAATATTTCTTATTGGGGAGCATTATATGCACTGAACCTTAGATTGGTGTTGAATCTGTTTTATTGGTTGTTTAAGTTTACGTAATTTACTTCCTTGTAATTTATGTTCAAAGTTGGCAGCATAATGTGTAACCTATTATCTACACTTTGACGTATTAAGATGTTAAGAGTGCTGTAAATAGTTTATTATCACTAGCAGGATGTCTTTTCACAATTAATGTTTTGAGACATCTGTTTCAATATAAAAGTTTTACAATTTGATATATGCTTAAATGTTTATGTCCCTCCCAATACAGGTGGTATGAAGGTGAAAGCTGATAGAGATGAGTCTTCTCCATATGCTGCTATGCTTGCAGCACAGGATGTTGCACAGAGATGCAAGGTTGAGGGCCGCTCATCAGTCTCATCAATTTTCTAGCTTGTCATGTTTTATTTATTTCTGTAATTTTAATCAAAGTTTTTTTTTTTTTTTTTTTTTTTTTTTGGGGTAATCAAGTAAACATATTTTTGGGAGTTGGACTAGTGATTTTACATTATTCAGTTGCATTGGATTGAGCGTGTTCTTCTTATAATACTGGCTAAGCTCTAAGTTTGTTTATGCAGGAGCTGGGCATTACTGCTCTTCATATTAAGCTCCGTGCTACTGGAGGGAACAAAACAAAAACCCCTGGTCCCGGTGCTCAGTCTGCCCTCCGAGCTCTTGCTCGTTCTGGAATGAGAATTGGTCGTATTGGTAAGGCGCTGTTTTGTCGATTTCTATTTTTTTTTAAGTTGCGATAGCTGTCTGTTTGGAAGGGGGAGAACAGTATGTTATGAATGCTAAGTAACTTTTGATTGCTGCTGTCTTCTTTTTACCATCTTTTCTAACTACCTTAGCCCCACCCTGGCACAGAGCCACTACACAATGACCAGTGGCTCCGGCCTCCACTGAAAAGTTGGAAACGTATTTTACTTATATAGCTTGTTAATGATATGCCCCTCCTAAATTTTGCTGTTTGTGCCCCTCCTAAATTTTGCTGTTTGTGCCCCTCATAAATTTCTTTTTGTGCCCCCCGTCCTCATTTACGCCCGTTTGTTTCTCGAGTACAAAAGGCTATATATATGGTCAAATAAACTCTGATCTTTATCCTCTTCCCTCCCTTTCTTTCATCCTCTCTTTTGGCAAATGATACGTAATGCAGGATGTTACAATTGAGACTTTAAGAATACCTGTTTTTTCCTTTGACGCTTTAAGGCCTCGTTCATTTTATCGCTTTGAGTTTTCAATTCTATTTTTACTACAGTTAAAAGCTCCATAAAAAGTCACATCTAACTCTTTTTGCTACAGTTAAAAGCTCACACATAAATCATATCTTAGTTCGAATTAAAAATTCAAATAATGAGGCCTAAATATTTGTAATGATGTTTGAAAAGTTTTTGATCCGTGTCCTGTTATGTTTCAGAGGACGTTACACCAATTCCTACTGATAGCACCCGCAGAAAGGGTGGTAGAAGAGGTAGAAGGTTGTAAGCCTGTTTTTTTCTTCCGAGGGAGTTATGCCGTGGCAATTGTTGCGCATTCACTTTGCAGTGGGATGAGAGACTTTGCTAAAGTTAGGTTGATGTTATTTCCAATTTTGAGCTGATATGTAGTTTCTCTCGACTGAGACTTTGTCAAAGATTTATTTGAAGTTGTAGAAAGAGTTTGTGGGATTTTGAGATATTCGGGATTCTTCTATCTATTCGTATCAAAGTTGCATCGGCAGTCGTATGCTTTTTGAACGAATTTCTTGCCCGTCGGTTCTTATCTCTACACTTGGCCTCAAGTTGCTAGTGATAGGAGACCAAGTATATGAAATCAATGCACTATTTTTGACTTGTTTGATCTCTAATTTTAGAGGATATCTTGAAAAGGAAAGCTTTTCTGGTGCGGTATACTTGCATGTTTTACACGACTGCGTAGTGCACATGTTTTTCCCCTTTTAAAGGAAACACACGTGTCAAAGGGCATAATTTACGAAATCTCGAAGTCAAAAAAGTTTTCTAATCAATAATCGTAGTAAACTGGGAACTTTATGGCGTCCACAGAACATTTTCATTTGGTCGAAAATATGATAAATTGTGAATTTTATTTTAAAATTTATAAATTTTAAATATTAGAGTAAAGTGAGTTATGATAGATTTGTGAATTTTAAATAAATACGATAATTTTAGACTTTTATGTTGAAATTTGAAATCTTCAAACGTTTTAAGTTGTAAAAATTACAATAGAGATGTGGGGGCTGGCACAGTAAAGACTCTTGCCCCTACTATCTACAAACTCACTAAAAAATAGTTGAAGTCTCAAACCGTCCGAGAAAGATACACAGTATCATTCCTTAAGGTAGAGCTAGTGCACAATTCTTAATTTCATCTTGATTTTTTTTTTTTAATTTGATTAGATGGTTAAAATTGTATATAAATTTGATCTGTGTTAAAAATGGGATAGCATCAAACATAGCCACTTAGAGTACATAGCAGTTCTCCCCTATAAATTAACCAAATGGCTGCCTTATTTCTTATGTGATGAAAAGACAAAAAAGCCCTCCTTCCAAACCTAAGAGCAGCCATCAAGACTCTCCGTCCCCCTTCATGTCTCTTCTCTCTTTCTCCCTCACAGTTCCAAGCTTCCAAACGCGATTCTCTCTCCACAAAAGTTTATCAAAATTTCAATTGCTCTATAAAAAATCATCCAGAAAAAATTGCTCCATAATCTGAAATTGAGATAGAAGAAGCAAAAAAAAAAAAAAAAGAAAATAGAAGAAATGAGATGAGAAAATACCTTCACAATTGCAAAATCGGAGATGAGATCCTAATCAAGTCTGGAACTGGAATTCAAAAAAAAAAAAAAAAAAAAAAAAAGGAAGAAAGAGGAGGAGGTAAAGTGAATCGGAAAATCTGAAGATGAAAGAAGTGAATGGAAGAAGAACGTGTGTTTTTAAAGATGAGAGTAAAAAAATTATAAAACTGAAGCCATATTTTTTCGAGTAGCCACTCAACCAAATTTCCCCTAAAAATTAGAATGAGTTAGTTGCATAACACGGTTAAACTGATCAGGAGATGTGTGTTTGTTAGTTGTAGATGTGATTAAATAGTTGTTAATTGTAAGACTATACGAGCCTTTTTTTTTTTGGATGAAAACTATACTAAGTATTGTTCTATCTACGAATCTAATTAATGAGAATTATCGGCACTGTTTGTTTCTGTTTTCGTTTTTATTTTTTACGTTTTTCGAGGTTAAAAATTAAAAAAGTGGGTGAAAAACGCGTTTGGTGCAAAATGTTTGAAAAAACAAAAACAAAAACGTTTTTGTCGTTTTTTGAAGAATCTGAAAATGCAAAAAAGTCATTTTCATTTTCTCTTCCGTTTTTGTTTTCCTTCCCATTTTCTACCGTGTCCTCTTCCTCTTCCCATTCTTCTAAAAGTTCTCAGAACCTTCCCCAATCTCTCATCGCCTCTCACTCCGCCTCTTTCGCCGGCCTCCACCTCTTTCCCCGTCGTTTCTCATTTTCTGCTGTGTCCTTCATTTTCCTCTTCCCATTCTTCTTCTGTTTCCTCGACCCTCTCTCTTCTCCGAAGTCTCCGATCTCCCTCGACCCCGCTCTTCTCCGATCTGAGACGACCCCCATCTTTTCCGTTCTAAGGTTGTCGCATTTTTATAAAGATATCCCTAATCAGCCCATAAACACATAACCCATAAAAAATTCATCAAAAGCATGAAAAAACCCTTCTAATACAAGAAGAACACCTTACCTTGACTGCTGTACAAGTTGGCCTCTTAAATTTGGGTTTATACTTAGAATTTGTCAAGAAAAATCATGGTTATCTAGGAGGTTCCTCTTAGGTCCGAATTTTCTAGCTCAAACCCTTACTCTTATGTCTTCTACTTTGGAGAGAGGAGAAGAAGTTTTGAGTAGAGATTTTTTTTTTTCTGGTCATAAGCTGCTGAGGAGTAAAAAAATTGGTGGTGTTAAACGGTGGTTGGTGGCTGAGTCATTAGTTAATATGTAGGTGGTTTGGCATTTTTCTAGCTTGATGACAAGTGTTGTAACTAAATTCTAACTTTGACAATTTAAAAAAATTAAAATAAAAAATTAAACTACTAAATACAGTTTCAGTTTTTCTTAAAATTGAAATCAATCTCTAAATAAAATTACTAAACGCATTTTCAAAAATAATTTTAAAATAAAAATGAAAACGTTTTCATTTTTTTTTATACAGAAAATAAAATCATTTTAGAACTAATTCTAAACGCAACCATCATTATTGCAATTATGCTACGTACAGTTGTGTATATTTTTGTACTTTCATTTTTGAGTAGTTAGGATATTTAGTGTGAAGTCTGCGGTTTTTATTTTTTTATTTTTAAGTACTGCTTAATTTTTTATTTTGTTAAGGGGAAATTTTGAAGAATGGCATAGAAAGGTTAACACTATTTTATTCCTGTTATTAATTTTAAATTTATTATTTATGCCTTTAATATTTTAGTAGGATATTTTTCATATTCTATCAGAATATTTTTTTAATAAGATATTTTTTGTATTGTATCATGATATCTTATATTTTACTAGAATATTTTTTTTATGACATAAAATAATTAGATGACAAAAAATAATAAGATGACAAAAAACAATGGTTATTTTATAATTGTCTTTTAAGATTATAAGTTAAAGCGTTTGGGAGATAAAGACGGTTCATGAAGAGATTTTTATTTTATAAAGATTATTAGGCAGATTGTAATGAAAGATAGTAAGAATTTTAGGAACAGAAAATTGTTAATTGGACTAGGGAGTTAATAATTAAAAAAAATTATGTTTTTTTGTTTTGTTTTTGTGGTAAGAAGGATCTTGCATACGTGTAAAGGTCTATGTAAGAAAGTTCCCAAGTGTCATAAAATGTACTAATAAGGAAAGCTTTTCCACCCAAAAACAATAAAATAAAATAAAGTAAAATGTACTAATAAGTAATAAAGACAGTGGACTTGACCAAAATCATCACCATCAGTTGTGTTTAGACATGATGAATTTCTTAAAAGAAGTACAAGGGCGGCAATTGGGGTTGTGACAACTCATAAGATGACTTGATTGGAATACGACCAATTTTTTTATTATTATTGAAAAACTTGATTAAAAGACTAATAAGTTAATTGATATGTTCTAAGACGGCCGTAAATTAGTTAACGTTTGGTTTATAAATTTAAAATTATAATTTAAAATTATTTTTAATTTATTTATATTTTTTATAAAAAAAAATATTATAATGAATTATGAATTATGATTCAAATTATGACCTAAATCTCTTTTCCAAACATCGCATAAAATTACATCGGTAGGATGCATGTAAACTACAGTTTTAAACCGCGAAATCATACTAGAATGATATCAGTTTAAAAAACAAATAATAATAAGACAATTTAACGAAGTTTGACGATTCGGAATTGTGCCGAATAGAAAAAGGACAGAGATCACAGCTGAAGTTCAGTACACATGACAGTTTGACCAACAAACAATAAATTATAATTTAAATTATGATATAAATACATTAATTAAATACACTCTAAATCATCCAAAAGAAATTATAAAAAAATAAATGAATTTCGCACTAATAAAAAAGATTGATAAGGAAAGTTTTATAAAAAACTCAAATTAAATATACTTGATTAATTTTTTTTCCTAAATTTGAACTTGTCATATCAATTTAACTGACATGTTTGTAAAAGGTCGAGTGACGCCACACTTTTTCAACAAATAAAGAATTCACGTAACATTTTGTTGATGTTAACATATAGATTCTCACATAACCTTATTGTGGCTGTGGAAATAGATCCTTCATCAAACAACCACAATTAATGTTAATACTAACAAAAACGATAATGCAAACCGGTTTTAGGGGTTTGTAAAGAAAATGACTACTTTTCACTTTTTTAGAGTTAGTGAAATTTGTTCGATTGGTTATTTCTGTTATAATAGTCAAGGCTTAGCTGTAATTATTTATCAGCTTTGTTAAGTCAGTTAGCTTATATATATAGTGGACAATCAGTGTATTTTAGTTAGTTCAAAAATCTAATGAGAAGTTTATCTTTTCTTCTCCATTTTGCTATGTTCTCGTAATATTCTTGATTCATCTCGAATCATTGTTTTTTCTTTCGATTCTGACTGAGTAGTTTGAAAATCTTTGATATTCCTTTTTGATTTCCATGGATACTCTAAGATTTGGAAATTCTTCTACGTTAATCAGTAAATCCGCCATTGATGATCCTTTTAATCCATACTATCTTCATCATTCTGATAGCACATGCCTTGTTCTCGTTTCACAGCTGCTGACAGGAGATAACTACGCCTCCGAGAGTAGAGCGATGCTAATTGCTCTTTCGGTGAAGAACAAGTTAGGGTTCATCGATGGCTCCATTTCTAAACCTGGAGGTAATGATTTGAATCTTCTTAATTCATGGATTAGGAACAATAATATGGCGATTTCATGGATTCTGAACTCAGTGTCGAAGGAGATTTCTGCTAGTATTATTTTTTCCGAATCTGGTTATGAAATCTGGCTCGATCTTGAGGATCGCTTTCAACAAAGTAATGGACCTAGGATTTTTCAATTACGTCGTGAATTGGTGACCATAACCAGGATCAAAACTCTGTAAGTATGTACTTTACAAAGCTGAAAGCTTTATAGGAAGAACTCTGTAATTATAGGCCTATTTGTAATTGTGGAAAGTGCACATGTAGAGGAGTTAAGGAGCTAAATTCTTATTACCAGATAGAGTACATTATGTCATTCCTCATGGGCCTTAATGATTCTTTTGCACAAGTAAGAGGTCAATTGCTTTTGATGGATTCTCTTCCACCTATCAATAAGGTTTTCTCCCTGAGTTCTCAAGAAGAACGTCAAAGAACAATTGGACAACAAAATCCAGGCACTAGTTCTACTAATGGAATGGTGTTTGTTGTTAAAAATGATGGTTTCAAAGGCTCTGTTGCTAATGCTGACACTCGAAATACTAGAAGCAATAGAGGTCAAAAGAACGACAGACCTTTTTACACTCACTGTAATGATCATGGCCACACTATTGAAAAGTGCTACAAGTTACATGGCTATCCACTTGGTTTCAAGCAATGACCGAAAAGTCAATCTAATAACTAGATGGTGGCTATCAATCAACTTTCTAACCAACCCAATCTGCCTGAGAAAAGTGATAAAGACATCAGAGGAACTCAGAATTTCTTCCAGAGCCTTGACAAGAATCAGTATCACCAGTTGATGGCCATGTTTGCTAGCCACCTGTCTTCCTTTGCTACGGCCAGTGAACAACAAGATGGTCCTAGTACTTCTTTCACAAGTACATGTTTCTCTGTTTCTGTGATATCTAAGTTGTCTTCTTCAAACTATTGGATATTGGACTCCGGAGCTTCTAGGCATATTTGTTCAAATGCAAATGCTTTTCTCTCTTTTAGGCCTATAAAGAATTCTGTTGTTACCTTGCCAAATCATACACATGTGGTTGTCCATTTCTATGGTGATGTCCGACTAAACTCCCATTTGTTATTAAGAGATTTCTTGTTTATTCCAGAATTCAAGTTAACTTGCTTTCTATGAGTGCTCTCATAACAGATGCGCATCTTACTGTCAGTTTCTTTTATGATCATTTTATCATTCAAGAAATCAGCACCAGGAGGATGATTGGCAAGGGTGAAATGCTGGAAGATCTTTATGTTCTTAACACAGACAAATTGAGTGTAGATTCTTATGTTAATAGTATTTCTGTTCATGTTTGGCATAATCGACTTAGTCATCCATCTTACAAGAGATTGGATACCTTGAAAAGTCAATTACCTTGTGATGTTACCAAGTTTAATAAAATTGATCCTTTCTACATTTGTCCTTTAGCTAAACAAAGGAGATTACCTTAGATTTCTCATAATCATAGGTCTTAATTTCCTTTTGACTTGATTCATTGTGACATCTGGGGTCCATATCATGTGACTGCTCATTCTGGTCATAGATATTTTTTAACCATAGTTGATGATTGCACTCGTTTTACTTGGGTTTTTCTTCTTAAACATAAGTCTGATGTGTCCACTACAATTCCAAGATTTTTTCACATGGTTGCTACTCAGTTCAACAAGAAAATCAAGGAATTCAGGTCTAATAATGCGAAAGAGTTGGCTTTCACATATTTTTTTCATGAACATGGAGTCTTACATCAATTCTCCTGTGTGGATAGACCGCAGCAAAAATCCGTGGTTGAAAGGAAACATCATCACTTATTAAATGTTGCTCGAGCGTTATATTTTCAGTCACGGGTTCTTATTCAGTTTTAGAGTGAATGTATTTTAACAGCAATATTCTTGGTCAATAGAATGCCTTTTCCTTGGCTTACAAATAAGACTCCATATGAACTCTTATATGGGCGTCCTATTGATTACTCATTTTTAAGGGTGTTTGGTTGTCTTGCTTTTGCCTCCACCTTACTTGTCCACCGAGCAAAGTTTCATCTGCGAGCACGAGTTTGTGTGTTCTTAGGTTATCCCCCTGGTATGAAAAGTTATAAATTGTATGATATCGCGCAAAAGTAGATATTTGTCTCTAGGGATGTTGTGTTTCATGAAGAAATCTTTCCTTTTCATTCTATTATTGTTGCGGACTTTTTAACTGATACATTTTCTGATCTTGTTATGCCAAAGCCGCTAGTTGGGGTTCCTTTTGAAGATCCACTTCCAGTTCATCCTTCGGGTGTTTCCTCCCCTTCATCTACAAGATCTTCTTCTTCCCATAAGCCTTCATCTTCACCGGGCATTGTTACTCTTCGGAAGTCTTCACGGATTCATAAGCCTCCTTCCTATCTACGGAATTTTCACTGCAATTTATTGTCTCTCAATCGTCAAGCTGATTCTCTTTCTTCTAGCAGTATGTATCATTTGAAATATTTCCTTGGTCTTGAAATAGCAAGGTCTTGCAAAGGAATTATCCTTTCCCAACGGCACTATACTCTACAGTTGTTAGAAGACACTGGTTTTCTGGCCAGCAAACCGTATGTTGTTCCTATGGATCCAAAAGTCCAACTCAGTGCTACTGATGGTGAGCCCATCTCTGATGTGTCTCAGTATAGGGGACTTATTGGTCAACTTCTGTATTTTACTTTATCTCGACCTGATATTTCTTTTGTTGTACACAAACTTAGTCAATTTCTGGCACAACCAAGAGTTCCACATTTGGCTGCTGCTCATCATCTTCTTCGGTATTTCGAGTCCACTCTTGGTCAAGGGTTGTTCTTCTCTGCTTCCTCTTCCCTCCAGCTCAAGGCTTTATCTGATGCAGATTGGGGTTCTTGTCCAGATACTAGGAAGTCTGTCACTGGGTTCTGTGTGTTTTTAGAGGAGTCTGTAGTGTCCTGGAAACCCAAGAAACAGACTACCATCTCTCGGTCTTCTACTGAGGTTGAATATCTCGCCTTAGCTACTATCACTAGTGAATTAACTTGGCTGACACAGTTATTGCAATGTTTTGCTGTGAAGCTGTCTCTACCAACTCCTCTGTTCTGTGATAATCAAGCAGCAATCCACATTGCTACTAATCCTACATTCCATGAACGTACTAAGCACATTGAGATTGATTGTCACTTTGTTCATGATAAAATTGTTGCTGGATTTATCAAACTCATGCCTATTCGTTCTCAACACCAACTTGCAGATATGTTTACCAAACCGCTACCTTCTGTAATGTTGTCCTCGCTTTTATCCAAGATGGCTGTTAAGAACATTTACAGTCCATCTTGAGGGGGAGTTTTAGAGTTAGTGAAGTTTTTTCTATTGGTTATTTCTGTTATAATAGTCAGCTTAGCTGGCTTAATTGTAATTATTTATCAGTTTTGTTAAGTCGGTTAGCTTGTATATATATAAATAGTGGACAATCAATGTATTTTAGTTAGTTCAGAAATCTAATGAGAAGTTTATCTTTTCTTCTCCATTTTGCTCTGTTCTCGTAATACACTTTTATGCATAATCCGAGTTGTCTTATTGCAGAATGTGAAGATATATAAAAGAAAAAAATGCATAAGGCCTTAGTGCATAGCTTATGATTAAACTGTTCGATAAATAAAAGCGAAACGACTTAGATACACAGAGAGAAGTGTATTTTATAAATAGGGGTGAATGTGAGAAAAATGTATGATTTTATTGATCGAGAATTGAAACTGTTTTTTTTTTTTTTTTTTTTTCCCTTTATTTCCTGAATTTCTTTGAGTTGTTTTCTAATTTAAACGTTAAAGAACCCCATTTCTCCTAATCTCGGAGTTTCAAACATGAGATTGAGAATCAAGCGCAATAGTAGTTGGGGTGATCTTGTGTAGATTTTTATCCAACACTTGTGTATCAAGTTCTAACTAGTTAAGAATATTATGTAATTCTACGTTAGGGAGTAAAAGATCTCTACTAGTAGTGTTCTATTTTTAATTTTCAAATCTATATAAAATCCTATTAGTTCTGTATTCTTTTTTATTTTGATATAATTTTGATCAATAAATCTTCATGCACAAATAGTTTATGAAGACAGAGTTTAGACTACTAGATCACGCCTAGTTTATGAATTTTCAAATAGTTTTGAATAGTTTATGAAGAGAGAATGAACGAAAGTGGAGAGGGACAAAACAGAATTTGGCTCTTTTTATATAACAGTTTAGGCGTATTAAGTTGTGATTTCAATTTTTATAACGTAGAATACAAACATCAATATGTAGAAAAAAAGGAAAATCTAATAAATTTAAAAATATATGTATAAATAGTAGTCTAAATGGAAAACTTCTATGATTAAATACATGAAACACCTTGAATTATACAATAATATAATAAAAAATAAAGGAGTTGAAAAGTAGAAAAATCGCTACCATAGAATGAATAGTAATCACATTAATAAAAAAAAAATGGAGTCAAAACTTAAAAAGGAATAGGAAGAAAGTAAAAAAAAAAACTTGAACTCATAATTTAAAACTGTCATGTAATGACGACCAGTAGCCATGACAAAATATAAAAAATAAATGAGTTGAAAATTAAAAGGGAGAGAGAAAAAATAAAGCACATAAAAGTCACAGTTCATGAACAGTAGCTACATATCCACTATTTTAATGTTTAGGATTTAGGATTTAGAATTAGAATGAAATTTAAGATTTTAGATACGTATGAAGTTTTAATTGAAGTTTTTTATAACATAAATTATTAGATTATGAAAAGATTAAATTATGAATAGAAAGAATAAATACAAGAAAAATTTTACTTAGAGATTTTAAAAAAATTATTTGCACAAATAGTTTATGAATATGTGCATTTCTTTTACTTTGGTCTGCTGAAAAATACTTTTATATGGATCTAAATATCCTGATATTTATGAAATATACGGTTTATTGATTGACTTGACCGTGAAAAGAATGAAACAAAATAAGCGCAATTGAAATCATAATTGATTACAATTTAATTATCTCAATGAGAAATTGAGATTAGAGGTTTAAGAAATTTATGACAGAGTAATAAAGTTCAAATGGAGCGAAAATAAAAGAGGAAAAGAAAGGAAAAGGGCAGGAGAACATTAGAGTTAAAAAAAAAAACATCCAAACGGTTTTTAGGGTAAGAGATATTGGAGAAAAAGAAAAAGAAGAAGAAGAGAAAAGTAAAACAAAAGAAGGAAGGAGAAAAAAGAGTAAAAAAAAAAAAAGGTGAAGGAAAGTAAAAGAAAAGAAAAGAAAAAGAAGTACCAAAACGGTACGATTTGGACTGGGAAAATGCTACAATGAGAGCTCTTCATGGCTCTTTTATTATCTAGTGATATAATATATATTTTATATAGATACATATAGACATTTCAATCAAAACATGGATTTCAGTTAAATATGTATAAAAAAGTAGAACATATTGTATAAAATTATGTTAGTAGGCAAATTAGACATGAAATTAATTGGGCATCACATATTAAAAGCAGTAGGTAATACATGAAAAAAAAATGTTTCAATAGAATATAATTAAGAGAAATGACCTTAAGTAACCAAAAAAAAAAAAAAAAAAAAGTCATCCACAGGAGAGAAAAATCATCTTCAGGCGTGCGTTTGTCTGTTCAAGGGGTTATTAGCATTGTATCAAGTTGTATGTTTATTAGTTTTTGTTTAAATACAATTTCCTTAAACAAAAAATGGTTACGATAAAAACTGTCAATAAACTAGAAAAAGGCAATAATATTTATAAATGGATAGATCTTTTAAATCTTTGTTATAGGAGTATTAATTATTGGAGACATATAAATGCTTGGATGCAAACATAACTTATAACCATTTTAATAGATTTCGGTATCGTTTCGCCTACTTAAATTGTGTGGTTCTGAATCTTTTGACTTTGAATGAAAAGTTTTAAACCAATTACTCCGGTTTAAATTGGTGTTTGTAATAGTAAAGTTTGAACAATAAATAAAACATTACATCAGAAAATAAAAGTATGAAATAGTGTTTGATTAGTGTGAGAATTGTGAGTAAATTAGAAACAGAACCATGATATTAAACTATAACTACTAGAGCAAATAAGTTCAAATCCACGAGGAAATTAAAAGGGGGTTAAGTTCTCCAAAACTCATAATTTTAGGTTCGTACAAGTTCTCAACCACATTTTAAGTTCAAAATTTTAGCAACTAAACATGAATTGTAAAGCGTAGGGGTGTTCATTGTATTCGTCAATCTGACCAATCTGCATAATTCAATTCGTTATTGTGAATTGGATTAGATTGAAATAATTTTAGATTGATAACGGATTAAGATTACTAATTGAGCATTTCTTAATCCACATAATCCACCAATCCGAACTATATATTACATTTTTTATATATGTTTAAAGAACATATGTAACATAAATTTTTTTTTTCAATTATATTATACATATATATAATTTAAGTATATATGTAATTATGTATGGAATCTCAATACTATTTTAATTTTGTGCTATGTTATTTATGTGTTTAATTTCATTATTAACTTTATGAAATATTGAAAAAAGAGATGGACTACAAAAGTCAAGGTCCAAAACATAGGCTAATTCACGAATATGCATAACCCAATTAGCAAAATCTATTGCAGATTGAATTGGATTGAGAATTTAACGGATTGATAATGAATTGAGATTTTTCTAATTCACAGTAAGTAACTGATTGAATTACGAATTAACTACTAATCCGTATAATCTAATCCGCAAACACCTCTAATAAAGTGGATACTGAGTTTAGACAAGAACCAAAGGAAAGGGCACTTCTTTGATCCCAAGACTATTAATTTATAAGAATTTTATTGTGTACTACTTCAATGGAAATATTTGAGCTTAATTTACACCATAATCGCCTATTTAATAAATGTGAGCCTACAAAAGAGTCCCACATATAAGGTCATATCCGAAAAGAAAAATACTAACCAGAAAATAAATAATCAACGTGACACACAGAGCAATCATTTGGTAGTAAAGCCAAGTACATATAACAAGCAAATGCATAGCGACCACGTCATGATCCCCCTTTATTAGGGCTGCACGTAAATTCGAATAACTCACAAACTCAACTTATTCCGCTCTAACGTAACTCAAAAAAGATAACTTATAGCTTTATTTTTTATAAAGATAGTTGTTGTTATAGTGCTTACTTTGAATGAATTTGAATTAAGTCTATAATTTATGTTTTCTTTATGTTTGATGTTTGATGGACTACATTGCTTCATATTTGATGTTGGATTGAACTTTGAATTGCTATCTATTTGATGATAGACTAATCAGTATTATTTCTATTTGATGATGAACTTTGAATGTTGGAGTTATATTTGATTATCATTATTATTTCTCTTTGATGATCAGTATTATTTGATAATGAACTTTGGCCCCGTTCTTTTCGCTGATTCGAGTTTAGAATTCGAGTTTTGCTACCGTAAAAAGCTCTCAGAAATAGTCACATCTAACTTTTTTACTATAGTAAAAAGCTCTCATACAACATCACATCTCAACTCGAATTAAAAACTCAAATTAGCGAACCGAACGGACTTATGTTGAAGTTATTATTTTTATTTAATGATGAACTTTGATTTTTTGAATAATGAATCCGACCACCCAATCCACCTCAACCCAACTCAAACATCATTGGGTTGTGAAATTTTTCTAACATTATTAAGGCTAAATATGTACAACCCGCACCTTTTAAAATGAGATAAGAAAAAGTTATACTCCGTACCAACTCAACTCATGTACAACCTTACTCTTTATCCAACTGGGTCTGGATCTCAACCCCACCCGTGGGCCCATTTTTCATCTCTCTGTTACCTGCTACTAATTTGAGTCAAGACTTAGATCCCGTTCATTTCACCGATTTGAGTTTAAAATTTGAGTTTTGTTACAGTAAAGGCCTGTTTAGTTCGCTGATTTGAGTTGATATGTGATTTTATGTGAGAGTTTTTTACTGTAACAAAAAAGTTAGATGTAACTGTTTCTAAAAGCTTTTTACTATAGTAAAACTCAAATTTTAAATTTGAATTGGTGAAATAAATGAGACCTAAAAAGCTCTCAGCAATAGTCACATTTAATTTTTTTATTACAGTAAAAAACTCTCATATAAAGTCACATTTAAACTCGAATTAAAAATTAGGAGAAAGAGAAAAATAGGCCAAGACTTGAGATGAATTAAAATTAATAGGCCAATAGTTTACATAAATTAATAAATAAGCCAAATTATTATTTTCGTCAATAACTTGTCCGGTTATGAACCATAACTTGACAAGTTATTATCCATAACTTATCTGATTATGAACCATAACTTGACAAATTTATCCATAATTTATCTGATTATAAACCATAACTTAACAAGTTATAACCTATTAATTTCTATAACTAAAAAATGACATATATACTTTCTTAAACTTTGCCTATTTTCTACTATTTTCCTTAAAAATTTGAATCAATCAATTAAATGTTATTAAAAGACTCGCAACCGAAGACAAAACAGCCATTCAGAAATGCTGTTCGTCTGCGGTCTCTTCTAGCCTGCCGAAATCAGCAGACCTTTCCCTCCGTTTCCAAGAATCTCCACTCAGTTTTCCTCTTCCAACACGCCATCAATTCCCTCATTCCTTCATTTCACAATTCAATTTTTGACTCTCTTCTTCCTTTCTTTGACGAGTCCAAAATCCAAATCCAATATTCTGACTTCTCCCCCAAAATCCTCCTATAAATACACCCAATCCTCCCCATTCATCTCTCCAATCCAAACACCCCCTAACGATAATGACTACCAACAATTCCCTCCTTTCCCATCTCTCCCCACTTTTCCCTTACTTTGTCACTTTTGTTATTTTCTTTCTATTCCTGGAGCAGATCTCTTACCTGAAGAAAAAACGTCTCATTCCCGGTCCCACTTTGGTACTTCCTTTCATCGGAAACGCCGTCGCATTGGTTCGTGACCCCACAGCCTTCTGGGACCGCCAATCAGCGGCCGCCAAGTCATCCGGCCTCGGGTTCTGCGCAGACTATGTTATCGGAAGGTTCATCGTCTTCATCAGAGACACCGAGCTCTGCCACAAGATCTTCGCCAATGTCCGACCGGATGCTTTTGCCCTTATCGGACATCCCTTCGGGAAGAAGCTTTTTGGTGATCACAATCTCATCTACATGACCGGACAAGAACACAAGGATCTCCGCCGTAGGATCGCCCCAAACTTTACTCCTAGAGCGCTCTCCACCTACACCGCGTTGCAGCAGATTATAATCCTTGACCACCTCAAGAAATGGGAGAGACTGTCGGCCGAAACTTCGTCGTCTTCTTCTCCTTCTCCGATTTCTCTCCGTTTGCTGGTTCGCGATATGAATCTGGAGACTTCGCAGACGGTATTTGTTGGGCCGTACTTGGGCCAGGAGGCCCGCGAGAAGTTCAAGTCCGACTACAACTTCTTCAACGTTGGGCTGATGAAGCTCCCGATTGATCTCCCCGGCACTGCCTTCCGAAACGCGCGGCTCGCCGTTAGCCGGCTAATTGAAACTCTAACCTGCTGCGCCGAGCGGAGCCGGGAGCGAATGGAGGGCGGCGGCCACGAGCCGACATGCCTCGTTGACTTCTGGATGCAGGAGACGGTGAGGGAGGAATCGGCAGCTGCTGAAGCCGGACTCCCGAAGCCCGCTAACGTGACCGACTTTCACATCGGCTCGTACCTCTTCGACTTCCTCTTCGCGGCTCAGGACGCTTCCACTTCGTCTCTGCTGTGGGCGGTGGCTCTGCTCGACTCGCACCCCGAGGTGCTCCGGAAAGTTCGGGAAGAGGTCGCCTCCGTTTGGTCGCCGGAATCGGATTCGCTGATCACGGCGGAGATGCTGGCGAGCATGAAGTACACGCAGGCGGTAGCGCGTGAGGTGATCCGGTACCGCGCGCCGGCGACTCTGGTTCCACACATCGCGGCGGTCGATTTTCCTCTCACCGAATCTTACACGGTTCCCAAGGGCGCCATTGTGTTCCCCTCGACCTACGAGTCGTGCCTGCAAGGGTTCAGTGAGCCGGACCGGTTCGATCCAGACCGATTCTCGGACGAGAGGCGGGAAGACCGGGTTTACAAGAGGAATTACCTGGCGTTCGGCGCTGGTGCTCACCAGTGCGTCGGACAGAGGTACGCTCTCAACCACCTCGTACTGTTCATCGCGATGTTCACGACGCTTCTGGATTTCGAGAGGCACAGAACGAACGGCTGCGATGATATCGTCTATGTCCCCACCATCTGTCCAAAGGACGATTGCAAGGTTTTCCTCCGCCGGCGGTGCAGCCGGTGGCCGGAGCTCTCTTCGCCATGATCGGAGTCGAAAGTTAACGTTCTTACCACACTCTCTCTGTAAAGACGGCAAAAAAAAGTGCATAGAAGAAAAATGAGGAGGGGTAGGGGTTGTAGTTTCCCGAGCTTGTGAAGGGTAAAATGGTCATTTCGTTCTGTTCGCGTTTTTTATTCAAAAGGTGTGCATAATACACAGCTAGGATTCTTTGGGGAGTTTGTGTTGGCTCATTGTTTTGGCGGATGATTTATGATGGGTGTGCTGTGGTGGAACCAAATAAATTGGATATATTAAAAAAAATTGTGTAATGTGTGTGTGTGTGTGGTTTTTTTTTTTTGTGGTGTCACTTTTTTCTTTTGAAAAAAATATTATTTGAATTTTGCTTTTTACGGTTGACGTCCTCGTGGCGTCAATTAACGGGCTGTATATGCATACGTTGTCGGTTACAGGTGGCAGCAACAAAAAGGGCAAAGTGCAATTATTGGAGATTCAGAAATCTTACAAAACTTGTCCCGTTTCATTCACAATTAAAAACGAGAATAACAATTTGATTCTTGAATTTAGGGTCCATTATGGTTTAAATTTTCTCATTCAGTTCTCTAATAAACATAAATTCGAATTGAATTTTTAGGTTCAGATGGGCAAAAACTATACATTAATCCATTTTCTACCATAACTCGTAATAGTTTTATAAATGTAATATTTTCATCCCTATTTGTTTGAGCAACTCAAACCTTAGAGTTCAATTCAAATGAAGCCTAATGGTCTAAAATCATATTTAATTGGGGAATTAAAAGGGGTAATCCTAACCACCTAGCACAACTCAGAAGGCGCAATTCACAATTTAACAACCCCCTTTCGACAATCATAATAGTAGAGCTACAGGGAAAAACAACTCAAAATATTAAGAGGTTGTTCTTTTGAGTTAGGCATTTTTGAGTGAAGATCTTGAGTTCAGTTTGAATTATAACTTGAGTTGAAGTTATAACTTGAGTTTGTGTTTGGTTGTATACATTTGAGTTATAGTTTGAGAAAAGAATCTTTTTGAATTTGTGTTTGAGTGAGTCAAAACTTGAATTTGTATTTAGATAGTATTTTAATAAAAACTCAATAGTGATGAAAAATTTTAATAAGGTATATGGGTGGGATTTTATTCGTCTTTTCGTTGTCAACGAATAGAAAAAAAATCATCTCAATCAGGATTAAAGCGAAAAAGTTATAGCATTTTTAAGAATAGAAAAAATACTATTTATTAATTTGAGTTCGAGTTTCTGAACTCGAGTTGAAGGGGAAACTTGAATTCGAGTTTTAGTCCCAAACTCAAGTTCAAACTTAAAAGAATATGAACTTGAATAAAGTTGTAACTCGAGTTGCCTTTTTTGAATTTTTGAGGCTGTCGAACACACCCTAAAAAATCTACTTTTTCTTTTCACTTGAACTTTAAACTTAAAAATGTCATAACTTCTTTATTTTAATTTCGATTGGGATGATTTTTTTTAATGTATTCATAATGAAGAGAGAAACAAATCTCTATCCATATTGCATATTTTCTAATGTCATTTACAATGGGATTTTTAGAAGATTTGCTGCAAAACTCTAATAGCAATTTTCAACACTTTATCTAAATACAGTTCTCAATTTAAATACAATTTATTTGCGTATCTAAATACCGGTTCGAATCACAATTTAATTCACCACAATTTAAATCACCACAGCTCAAATCAAATCAGCAATATGAATCACTGAACCAAATGGACTTGATCATCATTAGATTATTCATATTTTTATGTAAAACTCAGTTTTTTTAATTGTAACATTCAATAATATATAGTTTACCATTTCAGTATTACCATGTGATGCTAAAAGATTACAATTTTTTTAAGAAAAATACTATCCACTTGTTTGTTTCAACAATCTAAACCTAATTATTAAATTCAAGTCATAGTTCAAGATTCAAATTGATATTTTGTAGAGAACTAAATGAGAATAATTGAAACAATTCACAATGGTTCAAACCCTTGATTTTAAAGTTGACCTTCCCTTAAATTCACACAATCTGAATTATTTTTTTACAATGAAAATAATTCATGGTCTTTTTATTTCATATACTCAAACTGAAATCATTTATTTGGCTACAGTGTTTTTCTCCCCCAAAAAAATTAAATTTCAAATGTTAGAATCAAGAATCATGGTTTGAGTAACCTTCCAAATAGACTATCAGATTTTTCTTTTCCTCTATCCTTAACTTCAAGCTTAAAAATGTCATAACATTTTCGTTTCAGTTTCGAACGAGTATTTCTTCAATGTGTTCATAAGGAAGAAAGGAACAAATCAGCATCCATATTGAATATTTCTTAATATCATTTACAATGAGGTTTTCTAAGATTTGTTACAAACTCTAATGACAATTTTCAATAATTTATCCAAATACAGTTAGAATTTTATTCCTAATTTAAATTTCAATCATATCCAAATACTGATTTGAATCGCAGTTCAAATTACTATAATTCAAATCAAATCACATAATTCGAGCGACGAATCAAACAAGGCCTATATTTATCACAGCGTATGGTCGCGGGACTTAGATTTTTCCTAACTAAATGACATATAGTTACAATAAAAATAAAATATCATATAAATCTTGTGCACTTGATTCAAAAATGATTGAGAATTTAGAGGTTTGTTCATTTTATTTTATTTTTTATTTTAGACTGATATTTAATATTAACGATTTTAAAGATAACTATAGCTATGGACGAATTTCTTTGATATTTTAAAAATATCCACCAAAAATTTCAGAAATTTAAGGTCCTGAAATATTTTTTGGTGCAAAAGAATTTATGATTTTATCGAAATTTATCAAAACTTTTGGGATATTTTTTATTTTTTTTATTATTATTTTTTTTTTTACATTCAAAAGATATTTTGGGATGTAAATATCGGATAAATTCCACAAACTTAAGAGAAAATTTATGTAAATATCGAAATATATCGGTAAAAATACAACATTGTAAAGGTCCTAGTATATGTTTTGTACAAACTTATTAAATAATTTTTTTTATATTTATCATATTATAAGATATCAAAAAGAGACACTAAGTGTTAAAACAAATATTTCTAGCTTCCATAACTTTTTCAATATTTTACAAATATCGATATTTTGTTTGATTTTTTTTTTTAAATTTAGATTACCATATTTTCACCAATATTGATATTTTCATCATTCACATTGACTAAAACTAACAAAGAAAAAAGAATGTAATTACAAATTTTTATAGATCATGTAAATTATAATTATATGTTGGACTGGATTCAGACAATAAAAAAAAAAAAAAACCGAATAGAGTTCCATCTAATCTAATTGAAATTCAAAAATTGGTTGTCAAATTCGATTGTTTATGAGAATTGAATATCCAATCCAAATTGCAGTGGATTGGATTGGATCTACCGATTTTTTAATTACATTCGACAATTTAGCTCACTCTATTTCTAAGAGTTATGTAGTGTTGGCTTCTAACTTGTGTTTGAATTAGAGGTGATAATTCGTATTAATAGATTGTGTTTATATATTTGTTGATGAGATACTATATGTAAAACTGGCCTAATACACTTTAAGAGTTAAACTTGACCTAAAATGTTAACCTATTGAGTCTTGGGTAATTTGATGCATATAAACCACTTCACATTATCATCTACTTTCCATGTGAGATAACACACATGCACTTTTCTCAATAATATTATATAAATTATAATTTATATGTTGGACTGGATTCTAATAATAAAAAAATTGAATAGAATCCCATCTATTCTAATTGAATTTCAAAATTTTTAGTCAATTTCGATCGTTTACGAGAATTGAATATCCAATCCAAACTATAGTGGATTGGATTGGATCTAGCGATTATCCAACATTCGATAATTTGGCTCACTTTATTCTAAGAGTTATGTAGTGTTGGCTTCTAACTTGTGTTTGAAATTGAATAATATTTAAAGTTGAAGGGTCTAAAGTTGTAATTATTAAAATATCTAAAATTTTGAATTTTGACAAATTGAGCAATTATCTATTGTTGAATACTTGATGCAACTTTTCAATCAACACCTATAAAAACGGCCGCAACCACCAAATCTCGATTGAAATATCCTCTTGGTTTTGACCATGTTGCGATGTCCATTCACATTAGGTTTCTTTTCATTTTTTTTTTTAAAGAATACTAGATCTTTTCATGGAACTGGTGATGAGCTACTTTTAAGCTTTGAGGCAGCTCTCTAGCCATATATATATATATATATATATGCGTGGTCATGAGGTATATATTGTTATACCTAAATATGAGCAAATATTCATATGGTATGATAAATAAACATACGTGTAGAGTAATTTTCTTTCCATATTCTAGTTAGATTTACTTTCAGGGATCTTGTATCTGGGGGCCGTTTACTACACATGTACGTTCGTTCCTTATGTCGAGGTCGGAGATAAGCCTACATCCATATTATATACGTTAGAATTATAAACATCTAATAATGCCATGTTACTCAAATAGGAATACGTAGAAACATGTTAAATCCATGTCTTCTCTTCTTTATTTTATTTTCATTATTATTAGTCCTCTGGAAACTATGTACGTAAATAATAAATTAACATTGTTAAACTTCATGTATATGGACAACTAGGTGAGTTAGAACGAGTTTTGGATTATTTATAAAGAACAATAAATATAATAATAATGAGAAAAACTGTTTTAATTGTGAGATGGGCATTAGGGGATATATAAATAGATGTTTGCGTAGAACCCCTTACTATCAAGGTTTGTTTTTCTTTTTTCTTTCTTCTTTTTCTTTTTTCTTGAAATGTTTTTCAATAAAAGAGTTAATGCACAAACTTTACATCTGAAACTCGTGTTAATTAAAAATGAATTAGAAAAACATACCTGATTATTATCCGGTTAAGATGAAACTCGTGTTAATTAAAAATGAATAACAAAACATACCTGATTATTATGTGTCTTAACCAACATTATGGATATGACGTCATTGAAAACGAGCTTCAAATTTATTTGTTAATTATGCATGTGATATGTGTTGGGTCGAAACCAACACAAGACTCTAGAATCGGAATAAAAAAGATAACAATCAACACAAGAGAATTTTACTGAGGTTCGGACAAAATGATTTACCCTACGTCCCCGTTGAGCTCTCTCACAAGAAGCTCTTCCACTATTAGATCAAAGATTACACCCTCACAACTCACAATCTCAGAGAGACAAACAACCGATTACAAGAAAGAATCCCAAGAACGTTTACAAGAAAGAAACCAGAAACCCTAGAAAACTCTACGATTTTCTCTCAGCACCCAAAACACTCAAATCCTCTCTATCTCTCTCTACAAGGTACTTTCAAGTCTCTCTCTCTCTAGAAGTGAATAGAATGGTCTCGAAGAAGCCAAAATGTCCTTATATCAGAAGTAGAAATAGCATGCACCGACTCATCAAGCCATACACGTG